TAAAGCTGTATTTCATTTTAGAGTCAAGCCTAGGCCTCATGAAAGCAATTTTTGAAATGAGATGGATAGCAATAGCACATTTTTACCACTAGTGGATTTACAGCTCTCTGTAGAAAGGCTTGCAAATTGTGTGTGTGTGTGTGTGTGTGTGTCTGTTTTGCACTCTTGATGTTTTATAGATTCACCCCTTCACTGTTGTGTGCTTTTTTTCTGGATCGTGGCTGATTTGTAGATTGTACGCACAAAAAAACCCTGTGTTTTCATATTTTTGACAATTTCCCATTCATTTCCCATGGGGGTCCATTTGGACCCGAAGGTCCTGAGTGTGACTATTTTTTTTACAACCACTTAGACTATTCAAATCCTGTCCCCAATTTTTTTGGGTGTTCATATACCAAGTACCAACAAAGTCACCAAATTTCGGACCATTCCGATGAAGCTATGATTTAAAAAAAAAAATTATTTAAATGCTTCGGGTCCATTTGGACCGAAGGACCCCAGAGGGTTTTAATAAGTGTGCTGAAAGTTTGTCTGGTTGTCTACTTATTGCCGAAGTCCCTTCAAAATTCACCCCAGCTATTTGGGAAACACTGAAATCTCTGTAACCGTTTGTCAAGATATTAATATCTGTCAAATAACAAATAAAATATGACAATAAAATTATGAATAAAGCTTATTTGGCTCAAATCACACTGATTTTTTTTTCTTTTTTCTGTCACGACCAGATATTATGCATGCACATTCCAAGGTAACCAAACACATGATTGGTTATTTTATTAAAAAGCGGGACTTCTGTTCCTCCACATTTACTATTATGATTTCTTCCATAATTTCTTCTAGAGGTTGGTCTCATTTTTATATTGTTGACCTTATATAGTTTTCAGTCACATGACTGGTGCAGAGACCTGGAGGGAAAAATATCCATAAAACTGCAACACAGGCCTGTCAATTTCCCATCTGTCTCGAGAATATTTAAATCACCTGACAGATAAAAAACAATGATATGTGAACAAACTGCAAGTTTTGGGCACTTGTGATGCAAGTACAGAACCTGTCGCAGTAATTTAATCACTAAAAACAGCGGGACATTCTAAAACGCCTTACGTGGCTTACTAGAGATATTAAAATATCAAATTCAATTTACACCTTATTGATGATGAATACTATATACAGGCAAGCAAATGAGCCCACAAGATAAAGGCATCACACTAAATCGCGCAGAATATGAAAGTAACTCAGAGTTTCACGTTAAAGGTAGGGTAGGTCGTTTTTGGTCTAAAAAACTTTTTCCCAAATTTGTTTAAACTTTCTATATATATCAATGCATAATTAAAATGTAAGTACTCTGATAAAAAGAGTATAAAAATCGAGTGACTCTAGACCGTTTAATCTGCACTAAACACAGCTCATTATTTCCTTCCGGGACGAAACAATGGATTGGCTTAGGCGACTGTCACTCTCTCGCAACCATGGCAACACCCCCGCTGCTACACTCGTTTGACTCGAGGAGGGTAAGAGACTAGTAAGAGACACAATTACATGCAAAACACGGCGTATATGTTATGAATCTTACACGAAATTCACCTTCATCACAGTGTAACTGATTGTAATGGGAAAACGTGTATCAATGCAACCTGTTTTTAGCTTTGCTTTATGTTACTAGCTCGTTAACGAATCAAACTCAATATATTTTAAACTTTACCAGTATCGATATGCTAGCTTGATAGTGAGTACTAACAGCCATGTTAGTTGTTTATATTCATAATGATAAAGTTAGGTATTTTATTACATGTGAGTCTGACATGATGTCACTACGCACTGCTCCTCTCCGCTCGGCGCTGGTATAAGCGCGTCCTCCAGCTGTGAGCTGTCGGCATCGCGCGTTCATGTGTTTTGGGGGCGTGGTTTTGGAAGGAGCCCAGAATGGAGGGGGTGGAAGTGAATGGAGATAAGTAGCTGTGTTTATTACAGCCCTGAGAGGACTACAGACACTCGATTTTTATACTCTCTTTTCCAGAGTACTTACATTTTAATTATGCAATGATATATATAGAAAGTTTAAACACATTTGGCAAAAAGTTTTTTTAAAAATTCCTACCTACAATACCTTTAAGCGCTTTCCCATAGAAACCCATAATAAAGAAAACACTTAAAGGGTTATTTCACACAAAATTGAAATTTATGTATTTGATTTCTCACCCTCATATCGTTCCAAACCCGTAAGACCTTCGCTCATCTTCGTAACACAAATGAAGATATTTTTGATGTAATCCAAAAGGTTTCTGAACCAGCCATAAGCAGCAGCGTAACAAATAGTATTTTCGTCGCTCCATAACATTAAACACTACCACTGTAGTCACATAGACTATTTTAACGATGTCTTTACTACCTTTCTGGGCCTTGAAAGTTGCAATGACGTTGCTGCAATGGGTGGTTCAGAAACCTCTCGGATTTCATCGAAGATTGTGTTCCGAAGATGAATGAAAGTCTTACGGGTTTGGAACGGCATGAGGGTGAGTAAATAATGACAGAATTTTCATTTTTGGGTAAATTAATCCTTTAACGTGAAACTTTGTGAGTTATGTTCATATTGCTTCATCTGCTTGCCTATATTAGGTTACTGAGGTTTTAAGTGTATACTTAATTTGGTCTTTTAATATATCAATGTCTTGTTACATTAGTACTTAGTACAAACCTGGTAGAACTAACTAGCAGGGAGCAGAGGAAAGCTTTGTTTTGTCCTCTAAGTGGGCGTTCCTATAGAGGTATTATGTCACGTGAAATCTAGAGCTATACATACCACATTCTTTCAGTCTTTGATGTGCTTAGTTACAGTACATACCATAAGCTCTTAACTGCATGAACTGTGTGTGTGTGTGTGTGTGTGTGTTTATGTGTGTGCGCCTTTATGGGGCCAGCGGGGGAGATCTTCATTAGTTGACAGGAAATTGGGACAGAGTGCACTAATTTTCCATAAGCGTTTCTAGTAAACCATCAACAACTAGCTTTTTACTCTGTTTATCATTAAAACTGGTCTGGCATTTATAACTTCCTACAGCAGACAGAAAAAGAGCAGAAAGACTCCTCTCGCACTTTACTCTACCTCGGTATGTAGGTGTGTTTGTCATGTTGATGGTAAAGTCCATCATTGCAGACACATGCATTTGGAGACTTGAGATGAATATCCCTGGCTTATTCACTTCATCTGAAGTGAAATCGAATAATGTAATACATTTCTCTCCTGCAACGTTGTCCTACACGATGGCATCAAAACAAGCTTTTTACGATCGTCTTCTGAGGCCGAGGCTGCAAAATAACAAATTCAATGGAAGGCATTTTGCCAGTCAATGTTATGGTTATTTTGCGATCTCTGAGAGAAGAGTTTCAACTCAACAATAAGCCGTATGTTTTCAGCATGAGGGGAGCAACATGCCTGTTTATTATTTGTGCCACATTTTGTAATGAAATATCAATGACCTAATTTACTAATTCCCAGCCAAATTTTACTCAAATCGGTTTTGTTTATTGCAACACTTTAGTTTACGGTCCAATCTCACTATTAATTAGTTGCTTATTAGCATGCATATTACTAGAATATTGGCTTTTTATTAATACTTATAAAGCACTTATTAATGCCTTATTCTGCATGATCGTATTCTACATCCCTTATTCCTACCAATAGCTAAACTTAACAACTACCTTACTAACTATTAATAAACAGTAATTAGGAGTTTATTGAGGCAAAAGTCGAAGTTAATAGTTATTTGATAGTGAGAAATGGACCCTAAAAACTAAAGTGTTACCTTTTTACAAACCCATCAAAGGGTTTACATCCATAATTCGTCTGAAATCGAAGTAAACAGAATTTGTTTTGGAATGTGTCTCAGTCTAAATGTCATATTGGATCTCAAGCTTGAGATACGTCATGATACGCAAAATCAAATTTTCCAATTTTCTGTCCTCTCTCTCTACATGCTACTTTGTGTATTGCATGGAAATAATCTCTTTGCATTGTGATGATGCTTACACGGTCACTGTTACTATAGCAACCGATGTAGATCACCTCATATTGACAACACTGTCTGAAGAAACAGATCCAGTTTCTTTACTTTCAAAATGACTCCAGACAGTGAGTCCTTAAAACTAAATTGAAAAGCTGCTGTGTACAGTGTGAACAAAGCCATAGAGAATCCAAATAAATTATTGCCGCCACATAGCAATGCTCTGGAAACTTCCCAGAGCACTCTAGCAACTGCATATTCTAAAACCCCAAAATAACATGTTAACCCCGCTTAGCAATGCCCTGGCAACTACCCAGAGCACCCTAGCAACTGCATATGCTAAAACCCCACAATAGCATGTTAACCCCGCTTAGCAACGCCCTGGCAACTACCTAGAGATCCATAGCAACTTCATATGCTAAAACCCCACAAGAACATGTTAACCCCGTTAAGCAATACTCTGGCAACTACCTAGAGATCCCTAGCAACTGCACATGCTAAAAACCCACAAGAACATGTTAACCCTGCTTAGCAACGCCCTGGCAACTACCTAGAGATCTCTAGTAAACTGCATATGCTAAAAACTCCCAAGAACATGTTAACACTGCATTGCAATGCCCTGGCAACCACATAACAACTGCATAGCAAGTACTAAAAACTCTTTAGAACATTTTAGTACTGAATAGCAATGACAACACCTTAACAACACTCAAAACATGGTATTCACTGTGTAACTACCCCTTGACAACCATTTAGAACACCCAAGCAACTGCATAACAAAAAATGTGATTATTTTATATTAATACCCTGGCAACCTCCATGAACATCCTAACATCCTATCCACTACATAGCAACACCTTGACAATCCCCCATAACATGTAAGCTGCTTCATAGCAACACCTTGACAACAGGAAAAACCATACCACAGCACATTTTCTTCAGAAAAATGTTACATTTAAATTCTAAAAGACTTTTTTCTGTCCTATCTTTCTCTCTCAGGGTCGCTGTATAAACTTCACCCGCGTCAAGTCTAATCCTCCTCCACGGTATCCATCCTACAACCACCATTCTTCCCCCATCTACACCCCCACACGGACCCTCAACCCACCCCCTCCTCAGGGCCAGCTGCCCCCTCCTCCACACAGTCCACCGGACTCCCTATCCTCCAGTTTTCCTCCGGTACCTTCCACCCCTCCTCCTCTCACCATCAACCCATCTCCACCCATTACTCCTCCTCCATCCTATTCTCCACCCCCCGTCTGGTCTTCATCCCCCACCACCCTCTTCTTTTCCCCACTCACATCTCTGCCCTCTCTTCCACCATCACCTACTTCCTCCCTGCCCCCACCCCCTCAAGCCCCGCCTCCAGGCAGAGCTCCTCCTCCAGATCGTCCACCTCCACGGCCCTGTGTCTAAAGATGAAGACTGGAAGCAAACAGGAAATATACATTTTCCACACCCTCCTCAAGATTCCGTTGCTGTGTGGCCTAACACAATAAAACATGGCTCACCTGTGGCATCAAGGGCATTCGCTCCCGTGAAAAGAGCAATGAAATGGAACACAAGCCTCCGGGAAACTCTAAAGGGAGCAACACTCAGAATCACACACACTAGGCATTGCAAAGAAACAGAAAATTCACGTTCGAAGCTCCTGTTTCTCGGCAAGAGTGATTTGTGAGTTTAACCAAGCTTTGAGAATGGAAGCGGCTGGTTCTATTAATGGATTCATGGATGTTTCACAATCGCATGCACATGGGACCATCTCATAAAGCAGGTTTCCACAAAAGAGGAAAGCTGAAACAAAATAACCTTTCAGGAGCTTTCTTGTTCAGAACAGTTGAGAAAATATATGCACCTTTGTATCTAGTGTGACTATATACAGGTCAACTTCCTTAAAAGGCAAAACTAAACATTGCGTCTCATTCGCTATAAATTACACCGGAAAACTTTGCGCAAAATTTTAATCCAGATTCACATGGTGCGTATGCTATGCACACGGATTTTCTAATGTTAATGATTTGAAGTATTCTAAATGAAAGACTGCAATCCCCAAATGTAATTTGCATAAACACGCCCATCTCCATATAAGGGTTTATGTTCAATATAATGCCTGGTTTAGATTACACTTTTTTTTTTTTTCTGTTACGATAGTCGCTGTGTCAGATTACGCGATTTTGACTCCTAAAATCTTGTCGTGGACAAGAAACATGTCAGACTACACGTTGCTTCCTGACCAGTCATCGCGTGCCGTCTTTAACGACGCGCGTGATGTCATCGAGAAGGCGAAACTAGTAGCGAGTGACTTCCGGAAACGAACGTAAACAAACAATGGATGAAGCGGTGAGTGTTGGCTGTCCTGTGTTCAGAAAAACGTTAAAAAAAGAAAGAAAACCCGTCAATGGACACGTTCCTGGATTGCTCGAAGAGGACAGTATGGGCTGTCAATCCTCCAAAGAGAACTTGAGGTAAAATAATATTGTTTTCTGTTACTGTTGCCACAGCTCCTGAACCTTTCCTCCATGTCATAACTCCACCTAGTAGCACCATCGTCTCTCTTTCGTTTCGCCATTTTTGAAAGTTGTGTACGGAAAAGCTTCTGTGCTCCTATTGGTCAACCTCATACATGTGACGGAACCCGTCGTGGACGACCGTTAAAAAAATTAAACATGCTAGTCTTTTTGTCGTGATGTCGTGAAGCATCGTAGACGCGACGTAGGTTGTCGCACACTATGACACACTATACGAGATGATACGATCGAATCTTGCGTCCCGACGCCCGTTGTCGTTTGCGAATCCCCACGACACTCTACGTCAAACATATCGTGTCAAAATCGGCCTAAAATCATGTAATCTGAACCAGGCATAAGCGTGCAGCGTACATGTGACTTCAGTTGGTAAATTTAGAATATTTTTTAATGGCAACATATTAATGAATCATGATTTCTATGTGAACATTTTTGTACACTGATTTTACCATTGTGAATGACCCATTGTGGCTGAATCATTCTTGATGTGTTTTTATTCTAGCGATGGTGGAAAAAAAAAGATTTCTTTCAAACTAAATGCAGTTGCAAAATTGAACCACTTTACAAACATTTTTGGATTAAATGCTTTGCAGGAAGGCAAAAAACTGTTGCTCATTCAGGTAATTGACATTTATTATTTTGTGCAATAGTGATTTTAGTGGCTTTGTTTGGGTTGGGGGGGGTGGGTTTTCATGTTGCTTTTTGGTCTTTGAATTTATTAACAAAGTACCAGACCATGATGAATTAAAGGGATGGTTTACTCAAAATTTTAAATTCTGTCATAATTTTTGGGTCAACTATTAACTTTAGAATGATGTTGAAGCGACTAAGATGTTTATGGGGACGGACTTGAAACATCAGAAAAAAAATCTGAAATGTATGTAAACTATAAGCAACGTCACCTTACTTTTTGCACATGTCACAGTTGTAATGGTGTATGGGTGCATCATTTAAAAATAGTACAAATTATCATACTTTTACACATGCTGTATGTATAAAACTTTTTTTTTTTTTGTTATTAATATTGTGGCATGATTACAATTTGAAATAATGTAGAGGCAAAACAAAAGATGGCACATTTTCCCAGTAAGAGTTCTAAAGCCTCTGCGTTTTATCCACCATGAATAACCACAGGGGAATATTACAAATAGCTTTTCACATTGGAAATTATTTCTGCCAAAAAAACGATTGAGAACCCAGAGTCCAATGCATTTGATATATGAGTTTGTTTTTGTTCATAATTACATGCTGTATATATTATTGTCATAATGCATCACAGTGTCAGATTTCACAATCATTTGCTTCTAAAGAGTTCTTGTCATTTTCCGTTGGTCTCCGAGTCTAAGTTATTGCGGTCCCTATGATGCCAGTGTTGTTTATATAACTCCAAAACCCTGTTATGATGATGGTTTTATGGGTAATTTACATAAAAGAAATCACATATGTCCATGTTAAATCACATATGCTTTTCAAAGAAATCATGTAAATGAATCTCTCTCCAAATGACTTTGATCATGACTACACTACACTATTTTTTTTATTTTTTTTTACGTTCTATTGTTTTGAAATAAAATGTTGTCATAAAAGTCATATACTGGTCCTCCTGTTTGCATGCGTTTCATGGATGGTGTGCCTGTTGTTTTCATCAAGAGAAGAATCGTTTCCTTAAAATCTTATTGTTCAATCTTGTTCTACAGTCTGAAGTCATATTTAAGGGAGTGACATCATAAAAATGGTTTTACCACATGGTTAAATAGAGGTAAGTTTTTAGTTTTTTCTTTCAATGTTTATTAATATAATGTGAAGAGTTCAACTCTGTTATAGGAAAAATACATCACATTTACAGATTTTTTCTTGGCATAAAGCACCAGAAGCTGACTATAAATCATGTGGTCATCGGATGATGTTTTAAAAGGACATTGGTTGCACTTTATTTTACAGTACATGCACTTTCAATGTATTTACAGTTTACTTACCCACAAAAATACTGTCATTACTACAATAAATACATAGTATACAAGCGAAACAGGACTGTAAAATAAAGTGCTACCAGGACATTTATTAAACATTCTTGGACTGATTTTCAACATGGTTGACAACATGCTTTGAAAGAGTCATAGGTTACTTGGATTTCTGCATAATTTGGTTATAAAATATCATCTGATCTTTAGGTGATCTTAAGTCTGCTCAAGGAAATAAACAAAAAATGATACAAATGATTTCTTCCTTTTCCCGTGTTGTTTTTAGACTTAGACTTAGACTTAGACTTCCTTTATTGTCATTGTACAAAAAACACACAGTGAAATTTGACAACGAAATGTCGATTTTCCATCCGACATTTCCGGCAGCTCGGCCTCCTCTCCTGAACCGGTTCCCTTTTGTCCAGGTATAATTTAGTCCAGAGTCGGCTCTGTCAACATCTGCACAGAAAGCTGGCGTCTCATGAGACGGAGACTATAAACCACTCTCGCCATCAGTGATGTGTCCAATTTCAAAAGCCAGTTTTATTCAGTGAAATAAGCACAAGCCCAGCGAGGTTTGGCATAACATGTTTCAAGAGCAGCCAAAGATAAGCAAATGAAATTATGCTGGAAAAATAAATTGGGATAAGTATGCATTTTCTCCAGCAGTGCAGTGGGACCTGTGTAACCCGTTTTGTTCAGATCTATTACAAAAATCTAATGTGATGTTCTGTATAGATGGTGTTAATTCACGTCTTTGACCCTGATATCTGTTTAACTTTTTATTTTTTTCACCATTATCCCATCGTTCCCTCTCCCTGGAATTTAAGTATGAGTCATGGATATATACACTCACCTAAAGGATTATTAGGAACACCATACTAATACTGTGTTTGACCCCCTTTCGCCTTCAGAACTGCCTTAATTCTAGGTGGCATTGATTCAACAAGGTGCTGAAAGCGTTCTTTAGAAATGTTGGCCCATATTGATAGGATAGCATCTTGCAGTTGATGGAGATTTGTGGGATGCACATCCAGGGCACGAAGCTCCCGTTCCACCACATCCCAAAGATGCTCTATTGGGTTGAGATCTGGTGACTGTGGGGGCCATTTTAGTACAGTGAGCTCATTGTCATGTTCAAGAAACCAATTTGAAATGATTCGAGCTTTGTGATGGTGCATTATCCTGCTGGAAGTAGCCATCAGAGGATGGGTACATAGTGGCCATAAAGGGATGGACATGGTCAGAAACAATGCTCAGGTAGGCCGTGGCATTTAAACGATGCCCAATTGGCACTAAGGGGCCTAAAGTGTGCCAAGAAAACATCCCCACACCATTACACCACCACCACCAGCCTGCACAGTGGTAACAAGGCATGATGGATCCATGTTCTCATTCTGTTTACGCCAAATTCTGACTCTACCATCTGAATGTCTCAACAGAAATCGAGACTCATCAGACCAGGCAACATTTTTCCAGTCTTCAACGGTCCAATTTTGGTGAGCTCTTGCAAATTGTAGCCTATTTTTCCTATTTGTAGTGGAGATGAGTGGTACCCGGTGGGGTCTTCTGCTGTTGTAGCCCATGCGCCTCAAGGTTGTGCGTGTTGTGGCTTCACAAATGCTTTGCTGCATACCTCGGTTGTAACGAGTGGTTATTTCAGTCAAAGTTGCTCTTCTAGCAGCTTGAATCAGTCGGCCCATTCTCCTCTGACCTCAAGCATCAACAAGGCATTTTCGCCCACAGGACTGCCGCATACTGGATGTTTTTCCCGTAAACCCTAGAAATGGTTGTGCGTGAAAATCCCAGTAACTGAGCAGATTGTGAAATACTCAGACTGGCCCGTCTGGCACCAATAACCATGCCACGTTAAAAATTGCTTAAATCACCTTTCTTTCCCATTCTGACATTCACTTTGGAGTTCAGGAGATTGTCTTGACCAGGACCACACCCCTAAATGCATTGAAGCAACTGCCATGTGATTGGTTGATTAGATAATTGCATTAATGAGAAATTGAACAGGTGTTCCTAATAATCCTTTAGGTGAGTGTAATTGTCATTTTTTTTTTTGCATTCATTTTTATCCCATCATTTATTGAACAAAATAAACATGTCAAAATGACAGCCCTAGTTTAATGTAGGCTTGATTGCGAGTCTTTTCGAGTGAAACGGCTTCTTGAACAAGAAATGTACAGTAGGATGGGAATTGATTTTTAAAAAGATGTGCACAGATAAATCGTTTAAATAAACATTCCAGAAATATAAGAACTGTTATATTTTCATCATTATTAACCGGTAGGCTACATCTGAATTGGTACTTGTTAATGCTATAGTCAGCAGAACACAGTATGTGAAAATAGTATCTGAATTCTTAACAGTAAACGAAAAGTGTCTGGATCACCTATTATTATTTGTGATCCAATCGACTAAAATGCATCTTAATAGCAGGTGTAAGGGCCATACACATATAGGGCCCAATTTTAACGATCTAAGCGCATGGTCTAAAGCGCACTAAAGTGGTTGTCCCTATTCTCTTAATGAGTAATGGGTGTGTTTTGGGCATAACGTGCAATAAACCAATCAGAGTCTCATCTCCCATTCCCTTTAAAAGCAGTTGTGCTTATCCATGACGGATTCGCTATTTACATGACGGAATTTACAAGTGGAAAAACCTGGAGTAAATGCTCTTCCACTCCGTAAACATTAACAATAATCCAGACCGGCTTTCAGTCAGTAGTCTGCTTTATCACACACAAAGATTGATGATTTGGCTTGTTTTGGAACTATTGGCAGAGAAAAAAAGAGACAAACTGGCCAAATATGGTCTGAAACTCAAGTCATTAACCTCCTGTTTGTAGAACTGGTGTATAAAACATTACCAGTCGATCACACTATGAATCTGAATATCACCACAAGAGAAATCTTGCTTGTGATAATGTTGGTGTTACTGTATGGAAAGATGGTTGAACACAGTTTCAGAAATGTTTTGATAGGGCAAATTTTGTCTGGTGTATTCTCACTGGAAAACTGTTCGATTATTATCTTTTCGATGCTGATTTTAATCAATTATTACTTAAAAGGTAACAAGGCCACTGTAATATTTACATTTATGTTCCTGGCAGACGCTGCACCCAAAAGAAAACTAGTTGTGGCTGGATAAACAGTGAATTTAAACACACAATGGAGTTAAAGTGAGCTCAGACTTGGCAGTAAACTGACATTTTACCCAAACTGACCATATACAAAGTGGGTGGCATGCCAGTGATGTGTTACTGTGAGTGACAGACCATTGTAGGTTGGTTTTCTTTCTTTACACATTCGGTGAAGTTTGGGTTTAGCATCACACTCCCTGACCCACTTTCTGCTCTAGCCAATAAAGCAATCCAGTCATCAACAACAACGACGACACACACACTTTCAATCTATCCACACTGCCAAGATCCTTTGAGTCAGAGCTTAAACGTTTCTCTGCTCTTAAAGATTAATATTTTCAAAGGACAAACAGCTCATGTCATCAAAACGCTGGTTACTATTTGGCATCAAATGAGGGGAAAATAGAGTTAGTCTATCATAGTAAATCATAATACTTAAAAGTTAGCATAGCATTCTGCACAATTTTTTTACCCTTTGTGAAAATAAAATGACATTCAATAAAATTACGACAGACATGAAGAACTCGGTTACTAAAGATAATGTTAAAACAAAAGAAAACAAAAAAGATCAAGTAAATATTATTATTACTACTAAAGTATGGGAACTATATTTATCGATATCTGTAAACCACCATCTGGTCCCCAACTAGCTTTATGCTAAATTATATAAAAAATTTTTACATATAGAAGGTATTCTATAATTTTGGGTACATTTCATATAAGGAAAAAAATGCACAAAATAATCATATGCTTTCTCAATAAAACAACTCTTGGCTTCAGTTTGTATGTTTGATCAGTGTAAACTTATTTGTTAGTTGCAAAGCTTACTCATAAAAAAAAATCCTGTTGAATGCCATATGCCGTGTGATTACTTTAAGATCTCGAAGAAGTTATTTGATGATGTTTGTGTAAAATTCTCAGCAAAGTCACTAAGGACAAGATGTATATTTTTAATCATAAATCTACTTTAAAGATCATTTTGTTAGTTGATAGGTTGAAGAATATAATCCAAAACTGGCGGGTAACTTAGTTGGCGGGTAACTTGGTTGGCGGGTAACTTAGTTGACAATTTCACCATTTTGCCTCAATTTTAAAGGCAGGCTTTGTCTGGCCAACCAGAAGTTATTTTCTTGATCAGGTTAACCTCACATTTGAATATTAATTTAAAATAAAATCATAAAAATATTGCAAAACCATAACAATGTACCCAACATACTGTAGTTGACGGGTAATTATTACACTCCTTGACAATAGGTCACTAGAGATAAACTATAGAAAATTAAAAGGATATTTTCCACGTGTTCAAAATATCCGCCACAGAAAATGACATCACATGATGCTGGTCATTTGGTTTTGGGATAAACATTTTTATTTATTTTTCTTTTCAGGGGGGTGTTTGGTTAGTAACATAGTTGACAGAATTGTTGCGGAAATTAATAAAACGCAACATTTTATTTATAATAAAAAAAAAAAAAAAAAAATGTATACATTTAATGTGCATTGCCTGTTTGGTAACATGTCTGCAAAATTACAAACCTTATATAATGTGAAAAATGAAAACAGCTCACCTCCCTGAAAAAGAAGAGTTGCATGCCCTATTTTTCACCCTATTTCTGGAAAGTATTCTTTCCCACTGTACGACTTTGTACAAGCCAAAGTTGAATGAACGCAACCAGTGAGTTAGAAAGACAGAACGTTTTATTAACTATTTTGATCATAATTTTAAAATCTTGTACACACTGCCCAAACACATTATGACATGCTTTAACAAAAAAAAAAAAGGCTGGACAACTTGTACTACACACAAATGTGTGTGGACGGCAGACCTGATCTGGAACAAATAATCTACCACACAATCCTTTCAGGTGAAAAGATAAAGCTACACATATTTAAGATGCTATTGTAAAATCTTAAAGCAATGCAAACTAGAGCAATGCTAGTATTTTAGCCTGTGAAATACTTAAACCCCTTCCATGAGCTGGCATAACTTATATGTTTAGTTTTAGAATGTAATAAAAATATAAGCACAGAACTGTAATTGTACCTTCATAGTTATCGCCCCATATGACCCTTCTTCATCCTTTGGTTACATAACATTAATAGAAGATATTGGTTGCACTTTATTTTACATTACTTACCGAAGAAAGTACTGTAATATAAGGTAACTACATGGGTTAGGTTTAGGTTTAGGTTCATGGTTAATACCTAGTTATTGTATATGGGGAACAGGACTATAAAATAAAGTGCTCCCAAGAAATTTTTGGTTAATGCTTAGAACAGAAGTTTCAGATGATATAATCTTTATTTGTGTTGATTTTATGCACAACATATCAATGTAATCATGACATTTAAAAATCACAATATTTGAATTCAAAGGAGGTACATAAGCATTTTAATCCCAAATAATGTAGTATATAAAATATAACCCTTTTATACCCAATAAAAACAAAAACATAAGTGAAAGACAGAAGTAAACAAAATGGTCCCATGGTAACGATCAAAACTGACGGTGGCGTTGTATGGGGCAGGCGCTATGAAACATCATACTTTATGTCCTCGCCTGCGTCCTTTGGCAATATTACTGTAAACCGGAGACACACTCACAGTCTCCTTTGTAACAAGGCCTCTGAATCTCCCAAAATAAAGGAATCAAAGAATAGAAGCCATGCATATTTCAAGCACACGACTAAAGTGTTAACCTCAGAAACTGATTATAAATATGACACTCATACAGTAACTACAGATACAGTGTTGAGTCACCAAACGCAGTGAATCACTATCAATATCTGGGTTTAAAACATCCTTATGAACGGACTTTTTTGTGAGAACCAATAGGTCTATTAGCATTTGGTACTTTAAATACTACAATATTCAAACATTTCATTCTCTTCATCAAGGCCAGTAGATTCCCTAGTGCGAAATCAAACCTAACATGACCAAAAGCACATAGAAACTTCATTAAAATGTCGCCGCATACTGTAAATCAGATCATACATTCACGTCATATTTGACCCTTCATGCACATGCATCTACAGGGGTTGTAGTCATTTTACCTTCCTTTCCAGCAGGGATTTCATTAATTTCTTTGCAACCAGAATGAAGAAACCACTAAAGATAATAAAAATATGTATTCTAGGGTAACAGTAAGTCTCCATTTGCTATCATTAGATCATTCATTAAGCATCATGAACATTTTTTATAGCATTTATTAATCTAGGACCTAGGTTAATATTAAGAACCAAGATTAATGAATGCTAATAAAAGTACTGAACCTTATTGTAAAGTATTAGCCTACTATTTTTACAAACCATGAAAGTTATGTTTTAAATCATTGGATTGAGAAGACATGATCTCGAGACTGAACTCTAGTGGACATCAGCTTTGCTTTAATATCCAATTCAGATAAAAGCACAAATGTATCAAAGCTCCTAAATGCCGCTTTGTGCTCTGAGCAAAGGAGGGCAACTATGGAAATCCCTGTGGATATGAAATTCCCAGATGATCAGAGGTCATCCCGGGAAAAATATGCTGATCAGTAACAAGTGCATCCCCTTAAATAGCACACTATTAAGTTTATCCGGTTTGCTGCTAACTACCACTAAGCACTGAATGCAAACTGGAACGCCATCTTTGCTACACAAATGCATGTGTATTTGATGAGAAGCATCTAGATGTCTTTCTGGGACAATCTAAAATTATGAATAGAGCAATAAACAGCTGTAATAGAAGCGTGTTATAAGCCACACGGTGTGTGACATCTAGTGTCGCCACCCCATACCACGCCACCACTAAAAGACAAAAATAAATCACATTCCAGTCAACAGCAATGATATGAAGCCAGATTCATGCTCTGAGACGAGATACAGTTATAGGAGGAACACCTCAGGTTCTTTAGGACCGTTCGATGAAAGCTGGCATGTATAAAACTCATTGTCTTCATGTTTTGATATTCTGTACTTGCGCATATATGTATGTGTGTGTGTGTGTGTGTGTGTGTGTGTGTGTGTGTGTGTGTGTGTGTGTGTGTGTGTGTGTGTGTGTGTGTGTGTGTGTGTGTGTGTGTGTGTGTGTGTGTGTGTAAGAGAGAGTGTGTGTTTGGGGCATTGATCAGGAAGTGTTTACTCAACAGTCACAGACTTGGCCAGGTTTCTTGGGCAATCAACCTGTGTGCGACAAAAAATAAATAAAATAAATAAATAAATAAATAATTTTTAAAACATTTTTAAGATGCAATTTATTCCTGTGATGCAAAGCTGAATTTTCAGCATCATTACTCCAAGTCTTCAGTGTCACATGATCTTTCAGAAATCATTCTAATATGCTGATTTGCCGCTCAATAAACATTTCTTCTAATTATCAATGTTGAAACAGTTGTGTTGCTTAATATCTTTGTAGAAATCCTGAATTTTTTTTTTCAGGATTCTTTGATAAAACGTTCAAAAGAACAGCATTTATTTGAAATAGATTTTTTGGTCACACTTTAGTACAGGTCCAATTCTCACTATTAACTACGACCTTCGCCTCAAACTCCTAATTACTGCTTATTAATAGTTAGTAAGGTAGTTGTTAAGTTTAGGTATTGGGTGGATTGAGGGATGTAGAATATGGTCATGCAGAATAAGGCATTAATATGTGCTTTAGAAGTACTAATAAACAGCCAATATCCTTGTACGGTAATATGCATGCTCATAAGCAACTAGTTAAAAGTAAGAAATGGACCCTAAACTAAAGTGTTTTAAAAAATCAAAAGCCTTTACTGTCACTATTAAAAATGGCCTCCACAATCACCAGATCTCAATCCAATTGAGCACCTTTGGGATGTGGTGGAATGGGAATTTCGCATCATGGATCTGTTAGCAACTGTGCGATGCCATCATGTCAATATGGACCAAATGCTCTGAGGAATGTTTCCAGCACATTGTTGAATCTTTACCACCAAGAATTAAGGCAGTTCTGAAGGCAAAGGGGGTCCAACCCAATACTAGCAAGGTGTAGGGTGAATTCAGGGTAATTAGGACACATTTTGTATTTGAGATGACTTGGAAAAAGTGTCCCAATCAGCCTGAATTTACCGTAAATAGTAAAGTGGCTGGTGAGTGTATATCAGTGAGGGGAAACGAGCACTTGAGAGACTCACGTCGAATCCGCGCAGCACCGCGAGGTGGAAGGAGAGCAGCTGTAGAGGAATGACGCAGAGGATTCCCTGGAGGCAGTCCAAACAGTGAGGCACTTTAATGGTGCGACTGGAGTTGTTGATGGTCTCATAGTCCTCCTTATCGCAGATTACGATTGGACGGCCCTACAACAGCAACAACCATTGTCATATTAAACAGCAAAAACTGCAGAGATAACTAAGGCTGTACAAAAATAGCAAACTTTTTAATGATAGTCAATCTATTCCTTCTAAAGCCACGGGCATAGTACACACCTTATGAGCTTTTGTGTACTGAAACTTGGTTTACAACGCATTTAATCACTATTTTATATCTTGCAAGCAGTTGCAGGACATGCAAATTGAGTCTGAATGGCTCTTACCTGTCTTGCCACCACCTGCTGCAGTGCGTTTTGGCATTTGTTGTACGTATGGTCTCTCATGATGATCATTATGACAGGCATGAGTTTGTCCACTAGAGCCAGCGGCCCATGCTTCAGCTCTCCAGCTAGAATCCCCTCTGAATGCATGTACGTGATCTCCTTGATTTTCTAAATGACACAAACAAGAGCAATATCATGCTGCGTGAGAAGACTGGCTAGACAGGAACTATTAAACCAAACTAAAACAAAGACAAGACAAGACACAACTGTTACATAATCATAATTAGGGAAAAAATAGCTGCATCACATCTTAGGTTCAAATGCAGATTTTTGTGGTCAGAGTTGGCTATTGCCTCAATGGCAGTTTCCCCATCCTCACTTCCAGAGTAAGTGGGTTTTTTTAAACCAACAGTCAAATTGCTTCCTCTATTTATCTGCGGTTAAACTAAATGTTTATTTTCTTCCTTGTTCTTCCTTTCCTGATAAGACTTAAATGTACAGGTCTAATTATTCTTGAATGTAAAACAGCAGAGTATCAATCAGCGTAAATTACTCTCCAAACAGAACTAGAGCTATTCACTATGGAAGCTTGTTTCCGCCACAGAATGAAAAATAAAAAAGGTAATTGCGACTTTTTATCTCACAATTCTGACTTCTCACAATTGCGAGTTTACATCTCGCAATTCTGACTTAATTTCTCAGAAGTGCGAGATATAAAGTCAGAATTGCGAGATATAAAATCGCAATTGCGTGTTATAAAGTCAGATTTGCGAGATATAAAGTCAGAATTGATTGATATAAAGTCGCAATTGCAGGTTATAAAGTCATAATTGCGTGATATAAAGTCGCAATTGCGTGTTATAAAGTCAGAATTGCGAGATATAAAGTCAGAATTGCGAGATATAAAATCGCAATTGCGTGTTATAAAGTCAGAATTGCGAGATATAAAGTCAGAATTGCGAGATATAAAGTCAGAATTGATTGATATAAAGTCGCAATTGCAGGTTATAAAGTCATAATTGCGTGATATAAAGTCGCAATTGCGTGTTATAAAGTCAGAATTGCGAGATATAAAGTCAGAATTGCGAGATATAAAATCGCAATTGCGTGTTATAAAGTCAGAATTGCGAGATATAAAGTCAGAATTGCGAGATATAAAGTCAGAATTGATTGATATAAAGTCGCAATTGCGTGTTATAAAGTCAGAATTGCGTGATATAAAGTCGCAATTCGGTGTTATAAAGTCAGAATTGCGTGATATAAAGTCGCAATTCGGTGTTATAAAGTCAGAATTGCGTGATATAAATTTGAAATTGCGTGTTGTAAAGTCAGAATTGCGAGATGTAAACTATTCTTAGGGGAAAAAAGTTAGTCTTTTTTTCCCCTTAGAATTGCCCTGATAACTCGCAATTGCGAGTTTATATCTCACAATTCTGAGAAAAGATGTCAGAATTTCGAGATATAAACTCGCAATTGTGTGTTATAAAGTCAGAATTGCGAGATGTAAACTCGCAATTGTGAGAAACAAGTCAGAATTGTGAGATAAAACTCGCAATTCTGTCTTTTTTTCTCGCAATTGCGACTTTATATCTCAGAATTGCAACTATTTCTCAGAATTGCGACTTTATATCTCGCAATTGCGACTTTATTTCTCACAATTCTGACTTCATATCTCGCAATTGTGAGATAAAAAGTCGCAATTATTTATTTATTTATTTTTATTCAGTGGCGGAAACAAGCTTCCATAATTCACCTTCATGTCTTTCCAAACCTGTACTTTTACTTTATTCTGCAGAACATAAAATATATTTTGAAGCATGTTGGTAACCAGTTTTGGTGACCATTAACTAGTATGGATGGAAAAATATACTGAGACATTTCTCAAAAAATATCTTCTTTTATGTTCAGCAGAAGAAAGAATATGACGACAATTTTTTCATTTTCAAGTTAACTATCGCTTTTGTTCCACTTGCGCACACACACACAAAGTGTGAGAGCTATGGAGGAGGAAAATTAAAAGCTTTGTGTGAAGAACAGACCCAAAGTTAAGTCATTATTCACGATCATGTGGCTTCAGGAGACTTGAAACAGAAGTAGGAGTGGAGTGAGTGATAGATGGGTGAAGAAGAGGGATTGTGGTCTAACCAAAGCTCCCTCCAGACAGGTGGCGTAGTGGTAGCCTCGGCCCATAATGAGAACACTCTTCTGTTGATACAGCTCAGTTGCCAACTTCTGAATCTCGTCGTCCAGACTCAACACCTCCTTGATCAAGTCTAGAAAAAGAAACACAGTGTAGTAGCTTGTAAATTGTGCTTTTACACATTCACACATTAAATATTTAGTAAAGGTGGGAATCACAGGGTACCTCACGATACCGATATTATCACGATACAGCAATTCTCAGCAATAATCAATATATTGCTAGACAATCCTATAATGATACATCACTATAGCTGTCTATGAAAGCAACATGCCTGTGAAAAGGTTAAGTGCAGGTTTTCTCTCTTTATTAAAGTCCAAACTGTTAGAAAACAGCGCAAAATGTTTTTCAGTCTGTAAATTAGATTGAAAATTTTTTATTTACTTAAAAGTTTCAATGAAATCAGGGTGATGGCTTTGCAAGTGACCTTGCGTGTTCATGGTATTACCTGTGCACTTTACATTTACCAGGCAGTTATTGTATGCCGCGTACTCTGTCGATTTTGTTTTTCCCATCAAACATACAGTCGGCAACTAGTCATAGTTGGGGGCGTGGTCTGGCGTGGTGAGGGTGGAGTCGGCGGGGGGGAAAAACACTGCGAACATTGTGTGTATTTGAATGACAAAAATGTCGTATTGCGAGGCATTGACGCCTGCTGACCGGCAACGGTACATTGCAAAATTAACTGCAATAGGTTATGATTGCCCTTATTTAATTCAAAACTGGGTCAATGACCAACCAAATGGCCGGAGGTGTCGTTTCCAGACATATTTTGTTATCTGGTTGAATCTCAAGGTAAGACATCGCGGTAGCTGTAGGTAACATTAGCCTATAACTCAATCAACTTTCGTATATGTTGCATACTATAACTCCATAAAACCTTGTCACTTACCAATTGTACGTATGCTTCACTCCAAACTATTAATCCTTTGGTAAAACGGTGATCAGTAGTACGAAGTTGCCGAGGGACTGTGCTGACAGTTATCCCTAACTCACAGACTGCAGTCTTTATTGAGTGTAGACCTCGAACTACTCCATGGGTTCATGGCTCACGTCATTACGTAGCGATTGGCCTATCAAGCGAGCCTTCAGCTGATAACACTAATGTGAATGAGACATCCCTTATGAAAAACAACTATAGGAATCTTGTAGTATTTTAGGACAAAATATTATAGTAATCCTGTAGGAATACTATAGTATTTTGGGACATACTATAGAAGTACAATAGAGGTATTACAGAACATCACAGAAGTATTATACACTACTATAGAAATCTTATAGGATTACTATAGTTCTTTTTCGTAAGGGATGTAGACAAATCTGGCCCACTGCCTAATACGAGTTTAACACCCACTGTATCACACAGTAATCCCAAAAATTACAAGTCCCGGGAGGCTCACACCTTTTTTACCAACGGGTTTGTTGGGGTGGTTCTACACCACCAAATGCCAGGACTCTCATGTCTAATGAGATGCGATGTAAAGCCGTCATGGAGGGTAACAGACAAGCCACATAAGACCTGGATTGCAGTACAGGAGGACGGGGCCATCCTGACTGGTCACTGCGACTGTATGGCAGGGTATGTGGTTGATTATACTTATACTGATTCTTTATATGTGACACTTATTTGTATTAATACTGTCATTTGTACTACAACAAAGCCATTTCTCTACATTTTGTCCTCCTTTCCGGTTCTGTGTGTTTATTAGGAAGGATGTAGAACTTCAATTCATAATTTGTTTGTTTATTGGCAGTACAGAAAATGACACAGCAACTCTTCGGCATGATTGTCGGATGTATTTCAATTAGCGCCATGGCAATGTTTTCCCCCACGGGCTAAATTCACATCACATGACGGGGGGTTCCCAGGGGCGTTCCCAGTATGTATAAAAGCCAAAGTGGGTGCAGACTTTGGACATAAACGTGGCTGGGGCATCTATTTTAATTAATTAATGTAATTTTGTGTTTTGTTTTTTCCCTTTTACTGTTTGTGACTTAAAAATGGATGCAAGCTATAAACGAGCACAGTTTAACTAACTTGCAAGAATCTTTCCAAACTGCTGCTCTATGTACCACCACAATAGTTGAACTTAAAAGGAAACAACAGATATAATACCTGCTGCAGCACCCCTTGTGGCAAGACTGAGAATACAATACATACATGTGTACACATTTCAGAATATAACTATGTCATGTACTTGCATACACATGTTTTGGCCTGTAAATACAGTGACCAAAACATGCAAGCATTAATGACAGAATCAGCAGTTTTTAGCATGAACAGTAAGCTGGAGTGCAGGGGGATCTTTAGTAGCTGGCTGCCAACACATTCCCGAACTCATTGGCTTGGAAGCAGAACGAAAAATCCACAGAGGGAGAACGAAAGAACTGGAGAAAGGAGAGGGAGGGGCGCCCCAGCAGACACTTGTGGTCCAATAAAGACTTCCAACAGTGACTGAGAGAGCTGGCCGAGGCCATCTGCTCCTCCCTGCACACCAATCCGTGAACACACACACTTACACACACAGCGCTCTATCAGCAACTCGCCAAAATAAATGTACACAAAGAGCACAGGTGTACAAAAATAGAGCTTTAGAATTCATATATTGTGACTTATGACTGGGATCACATTAGAAGCCATTCTTGCAGAATGCCAGACAATACTAAAACATTCATTCACACACAGCTGTATTTGAGTTTACCTGGCAGCACTTTGAGGCCTTGAATGATTTCTCGCCTGCGCGGCTGCACTGAGATTCTATCATCACACATCAACAGGGCGAACATGATGAGAGCCACAAACTGACTTGTGTACGCCTGCAACAGACAAAACAAACAGAACAAAATAGACTTCATATGAGCTCAAAATGCAATTGGTTTGTATTGTTACATATGGTTGTCACTGTGTATTGACCCACAGTGGCCTGTAGTGCCGGAGACAGATCAGACATGAAACGATTTGTTATATTTATTGAATAATCCACAATACCCCACACCAAACAGGCAAACTAAGAATTAGAGTTTCTGTGGAACTCTCTCAAAATACAACTAATACATATTTACACACATTTCCCAGCTCGTGATTTTTCTTTTATATCGTTTTGCCTATATATTGATTCGAACACTTTTAAATGCATGTTTTAGTATTGCATAATGTAGTTAAATAATACAGTTTTTTGTCATTTTTTGCAGATCTGTGTGAAAGGGGACCGTTGTCGTCTGTACGTGAAATTTTTCAAAAACTTACAGTACATCGTTGTCGTGTAAATGCACCCTCGGATATTTTAATAGTGGCTTGAGTGTCCAAAGATGCATATTTAATATATAGGGCCTCTATCATTTAGAACTTTATGATCGGCATTCTACACCAGATCAAATGATAAAGCGAGAGAAATTGGGTTGCCAAAGACACTATATCATATTTCAGTCTGAGAGTATAGACTATATCATATTTCAGTCTTTTTTAAATAAAAATTATATATATATAATAATTCTGTTTTGGTTGAATGATTTGGACCAGGAAAAAGAGAAAGGAAAGGTGAATAACATTCTATCATCTTATTTGTCTCCTTGTCCCCATCTCTCACACGCGCCTTTGATCCCAAAGCCTCTGTGGTTATAAATCACTTTAACGGCATTCCTCAATGCATACGTTGTCACATTACATGTCTAACTGTAATCCAGCGCCATGCCATCATCTTTCAGAGCATATTAAAGCCACTCTCAGTCAAATATGAAGCACATTTATAAAGCATTCAGGACGTCTGACAACATGCTCTGGCTCACTTAAAGTTCTGCGAGTTCACGCAAGATATTTCCAGTGACGGTAGAGGAGCCATGGACAATACACCCACCCTAACAAATCACTAACACATGAGAGCTGATCCATGGACATTACTGTGTCGATTATTATTTGCAGATGCTCTTCATCTGTGAAGGTTCACTACCTGCACTAAATCTGAGGTTAAGTAGCTTGGTTAAAGGTGTGATAGTAATTAGGGTTGACAGATTGATCTGGTTAAGTTGCTAGAACTCATTAAACCAACAACCTTTTTGTCTTTAACCAATTTACCAGCACCCCAATCCATAGTAATCCAAACCCTCTGCAAGTTTTGTTGAAACTAAACAAACCCAAACCTGTAAAACTGAACTTACACATAAGAAGAAAGACAAACTCAAAACAAGTCATTTTGTTTGGTCCCAGTGGATTCAGGTCAAGTAACGGAGCTCTACTTTGCACTTAGGTCTACTACCTTGCATGCATATATGCAACATTTGAGTCACTAAAGCGTAGTCTTGCTGACTAAAAAGGCTGAGAGTCCCATTTGGGACCAAATCATAGTATAAAAGTTTGTTTTCTCCAGTTGTCTCCAATACAAACAAACATTCTGGATTTTGCAATGCTATGTGCAGAGCTAAATGCGCTCGACATATGTGCATGCATATGATGGAGCTGACAACCCGTAAAGAGCTTATGTGTAAAGTAGTCAAAAAAGCAGCCGTAATCCCTCAGTCACAGACACAAACAAAGATCTGTCCTTTTTAAGGTCGCATCTTGTGACATCATGTCCTGTTTTTAGTTTGTTTACGTCATTGGTCCGTGTTGTGTTCATATTTCAGTCGGACCAGAGTTCGTTTGAAAGCAGACCAAGACCCATCTGTTCAGCGGTCTCGGTCCACTTGTTTGGTGCACTCCAGGGTTCAGATGGCTACGTTCACACTTATTCAAATGAACCGCACAGACCAATCGCTCCAGAGTTTGTTTTAATCGAATCAAACCAGCCAAATGTGAACACACCCTAAAAGAGCCGTTGACACTGACAGTGATTTGCAGTGACAAAGTGAACAGACACCAAAAAGGACAATCGTTTGGCAGGACTACCAATGGGAGTGCAGGAAGTAATCCGCCGATTACTGATACAGTTGGGATACCATTGCAAAGTTCCAGTTCTACTTATTTCAGTAGTAGCAGAAAAGGAAAAGATTTCAGCGAGGGAAGGGCAGAGCATCAATAAACTTTTAGGGGAACACTGATGTTAAGTATGGAATCTTGAAAGAAAGTGGCCTTGTGGAAAAGGGAGGACTGCAATCACAGCAAAATCAGGCAAACCAAGTAATATGTCAAATCTACATCAAATATAGAAGCTCACAAGATGGGCTAGGCACGAGCTTACAGGCTGCAAGCTGTGCGGCAAAATGGTGTATATTGGTGCAAGTGGAAAAAACAGTTGGAGGGTATCTGTTGCCTGGAAAAAAAGATGACTGCAAAGCGCAAACACGTTTGACCGGCAGCTTAATATTACGTATATGATGTTTTGAAAATGAGGTCAAAAGAGTCAGGAAAAGAGAACTGCCGTATACTAGACACTTCCATTTTTCAGTCAGCCGAGAGTTGTCTTCTCCCCCAAACTTAAACTTCCCAATTATTACAGCTGAAACCAGGAGCGCAACACTCAAAGTAGTTGTGGGTGTGGGTTTAGAGGTTCCCATGAGGGACGGCTCTGGTGCTGTGTAGACATGGGTGGATAGAGCAACTGCATGCATCTGTGGAGCAATTCAACAATTCTCAAAGGTCCTGACATTTTAAAAATGTGGTTTAAGGATAATTTAGACGAGCAAGATGGCCAGAAAACTTTTGACTTGAGAGAGGCATGATTGTGCATGTTTGGTGGGTGTTCTGCAAAAACACCCACTAAAGTCCTGTGCTGACACTTAATGCCCCATATCTGGAAAAACAGGAATCTGGAACCAAATGGTAGGAGGATAAAAGAACGGATAGATGGATTTCTACTTTCATTGATGGATAGATGCGAAAGTCAGAGTGTCATTCTTTTTGTGATGAGAGTTCCAGTTGGGAAACAGCTTCCCGAATGATCATGGTGTTTTGTAATCCCTCCGAAGAGAATTCATTTGAGACTCTTGAGAAATGATTACAATGACAATGCACCACAGGAAAGAGACCACCATTTTACAGCGCAACAAAAGCCACTTTTCCACCATCCGGCCAAACCGTTCTCATTGATTAACCGTTCCATTCAGTGCCGATCTGGTTTCATTTTCCACTGTGGGGCTGATATCAGAGCTCTTTGGAATGTAATACAAATGTGTCACTCATTGCCCTGGTACAGTAAGGATTTACAGATGATATGAGATGAGGATGATCAGATATTTCTTTAAAAATTATTAACTTGCGTTAACTTCGCTCAAATAGTGCACTTGGCCAGCTACAGAGAAACTGGTAGCCAGGCAACAGACAAGTGACCGATCCTGAGTGGTAACGTCACGGTTTGTAATCGTGCCATGCCGAACTGAGCTTAAGTGGAAATATAACCGGAACCATTCCTTACCGATCTTAGAACCATTCGTACCGATTGTGAAAAAGTGCCTAAGTGTCAAATTCATGTTCATAGAATTTGAAAAATAAGTAAATACAGTAACAAAACACAACAGAATCTTAATTTATCACCACACGACCAGGGCCGATGGAACTGATTTCCGGTAATTTTACTTCCTGTCACCTCAGACTGGCATCATGAACCTTTTACCAGGACAGACAACCCCAGGAACCTCACTCAAGGAGACAGAGGTGATGGTTCATGGATCACTTCTTGGAAGTAGCAAAAACCCAATTACCAGGTTTTCACCTTAATCACAACATAATTGTATGTTTATCAATAACATAACCAGTAATCTTGGATCTGCAAAAGTGGGCATCAATGCCAGAAAGGAAGTAAATAAGATTTTAGCAGCTGACTGTGCAGGATTAACAAATACTAACACCATCTTTGGAGTAATATGAAAAGGGTCCATTTCATACTGACTTTAATACGACCTAACGAACAATCGGTTATAAGATCTATGCATATATTCACTGCTATGTGACTATAAATCCAATATAATACCTATAAATACATTTTTATGGTAAGAAGGGGGGGTCGTTCCTTTTACAACTATGTAACACCTGGTCATTAACAACCTTTGAGTGTTTCTTAAATCACAACCACATAATTCTTTTTGAAAACAGAAACAATTAAACAACAGATGAGGGTTTGATTCACAACTGTAGAGTCCTGCGTTTCATTTGAAACCTGGAACACATCGAGGGAGTCTGTAACATATCATTTAAACTCATCGAAAATGGCATGCCCAGAAAGTAGAACTAAATACCAGTGCAGGATTTTGCCAGATGTCCTGGCTCCTCACCCTCATTATTTTACTCTGATACTTATATAAGCAATTATATCACCTAATTCAGCCTGCAGGCATCCATGTTTCTATCCTAATGAAGCTCTATTATAAATCGATTGGAGCTCTTGTCTTTCTTGCATGACATGTTGTTAATAGTAAAAAATTACAATCATCTTCCTTTAAAGAAGGGTGAAGGAAAGTAGGGGTAGAGAAAGGCTGCAGCAGCAAGAGTATGAATAGTGCAGTCTAATATGCATTCATATTTCTTCTCTCCGTATTAATATCTCTTATCCAGCCAAATCCAGCTGCTCCCCAGACTCAAGATTCCAAAAACAGCTTTTTCTTTTCACATATTTGATGTGACTTCATTTGACTTGTATGCAGTGGCCGAAGCAATAGAACAACGCTCTAGATCTATTGAGCTGTAGTGTTAATACGGGAGACATCTTTTTTTCTTGTGCTTTTAATTCTCTGTAACTTGTTTGTGTGTTTTTTTCCTTTTATGTACAGCAGTTTGGCCCAACCAGGGTTGTTCTTCTCTTGGGTATAAATAAAAGTTTGAATTACACTGATAATAGTGAGAGTTTTAGAAAGTGGTCTACACAATAATCAATTCCCTTATCAGTCCAACAAATAGAAGCCTGTATATATAAATATACATAATTTAAATTTGCAGCAAACTACTGAATGCAACTTTAATAAAAAAATAAAAAAAGACAATTATCAAAACTTGAGAAATTTATGTTCATTTATTCACTTCGAAAAATAATGGATAACCAAGCTCCATGTCTACTCTAGCACTACTGCAATATAGGGCTGTGCATTGACACAAATTTCACAATTCGATTCGATTTACTTAGATATCAGGATATAAATCAGATACAGAATGATGTGACGGCAGCCACATTACAACGGTGCCAGTGCGCTCATCACACACCAGCTAGAGGTGGAGAGACTGATAGAGCCAATTCAATTGATGGGGATAATTAGGAGGCAATGATTGGCAAGGGCCAATGGAGGGAATGTGGCCAGGACACCGGGGTACCCCTACTCTTTACGAGAAGTGCCATTGGATTTTTAATGACCACAGAGAGTCATTAAGAGAGTCAAGAGTAACAAAGCTTATTGGGATTTATTGGATGAGAGACGCACTAAAATGTTCCATTCATTCATCAACTGAAAACAGCATTGACTAAAAGATTGATTCTTGGGATTTAAGAATCAATATCAATTCATAAAAATGAGAATCCATTCAAAGATAAATGTATATTTTTTACTCAGCCCTCCTGAAACCATATTGAACAAATTGGTTTCTTGAACAGATCCCCCTGGCTATGGGATAGCTGCGGGTAATAGGCCAATTTAAAGCACATAATGAGGGTTGCCATGTGGGACGTTCATTTGGTCATGCAAAGTGAGTGGTTAAAAGAATCTGTTGTAAAGACCATTGGATGCTAGAAAATTGGTGGAAATGGGTTGGAGAATGGTACGAATTATGAGGGGGTTTGTAGGGGGTCTGACATCACTAATTAAGGCTTGAAATACCCAAGTGTTAACAGTTTTAATCCTACATGCGACATATGGAACATTTCAACACTGTTTTCAAACAGCATTTCAGTAACCTAAAAAGTTAAGATTACAAGAAAAAGTCAGTGTGTGTATTTTCAGAGGCTTGTGAACAGAACAGGAAATTCACCCGTGGCCTGCTTGAGCATTAGTACCAGTATCAGATGGTACACAGATAAAAACAGAACTATCATTATTTACGACTGTATTATAAATTTAAGTAAATTGGTTACAAGTGTAATACAATTAATTACATAATATGAGAATTGATTTATTGTCAATTAATCACATAGGGTCAAAAGTAAATAAATACCTTAAAGTTTTTAGTCAAGTTATATATATATATATATATATATATATATATATATATATATATATATATATATATATATTTATATTTATATATATATATATATATATATATATATATATATGTGTGTATGTGTGTATAATTATTGTTATTAAATTTATAATTAGTGCAAATTAATTGCACTTAATAAACATGTTAATTTGACAGTCCAAAATCTCTTTTTTTTATGACAGATGACAAAAAAAGTACTTGATAAATTAAGAAACAAACAAACAAAAGCAGAACCCACCTTGGTGCTTGCCACACCAATTTCTGGGCCAGCGTTGATGTGAACGCCACAGTCTGTTTCCCTTGAGATGGAGCTGCCCACAGTGTTGGTGATGCCCACCGTCAGAGCGCCTCTCTCCTTACAGTAGCGCAGAGCCAACAGACTGTCTGCAGTCTCTCCTGAACACACACACACACACATCAGAGTTCAGAAACCTGCCTTTCCCCAAAAACACAATACACAGCTTCACATACAGAGACACAAGCTAACCTGACTGACTGATGAAAAAGCACACATCATCTCGGAAGACAGGCGTGTTTCGGTCCAGGAAATCACTGGCCAGCTCCACCATGACAGGAAGTTCAGTCAGTTCTTCCAGTACCTGACGAGTCTAAGCAGGAAACAGAACCAGCAGGAGCCAGTTATTATGTCCTAATCAGACATGACAATAAATAATAATAAAAATAAAAATAAATAAAGATCATATATGTCATATCTTATAATTTTATTGTTTTTACTCTGAAGTCCACTTATGACTTAATCAGGCCTTTCTGCAGCTATTGTTTGTAATCAATGTAGTAGTGTATGAAATCACATTCAAGCCTTTTGGTCAACACAGTGAATCTGAGTAATCAACTTGAACCCATCACAAAATCTGAGTTGTGAAATCAATCGCCCTCATGCAAAATTCCACATCCAGTTGATTTCTATTGAAATTACTGGATTTCTCCCGCAAAAATTCAAACAAAGGTAAATGAGACTTTTTGTAAATTCCCTCTTTGCAGGTAAAATGAGTAAAAGCAGGTCAAATAATATTCTGCGCTTCCCCATCTTTGCAAAGCAGCCCATTTACATATCATTATAATGTTTTTGCAGTTTAGTGTCAGTAGATGAACCTTTCAAAATGAGGTGGAAAAGTTTTGAAAGTATCTTAAAATGTTTCATATTAGCACACTGAACTCTAACTTCAAAAGATCAAGGAGAAAAATGTATTTCTCCTAATACGACCCCATTTAAAAGCTGGACTTAAACTTGTACATGTCTCTGTGGGCCCTTCACACCTGACATTAACATGCGTTTCATATCCAGACAGTCTCCAGCTGGATTGCATTGTGTCACCTCGGATTCCAAGTCTCCAATGTGATCGGATTCAAATATTTCAAAATTATTTATTTTGTATGACAGACAATAAATAAGAAATCTAGTCTACTGCGTTTTCCTACTTAGAAGCTGTCTGTGAAGATTCAGCAAAGATGGAAAACTCACACACAAAGAAAGGCATATTTTATAATACTTTTCATAGTTTACTTTCTTTGTTTAACAATTTGGACTAATGATTTATTAGCCAGTACTGTTAAACAAAGAAATCCAATAAAGATTGTGAAAAGGTGATGTTCTCAGCCCGCGGTCATGTTAAAAAGTCCCGCCACTGTCAATCATTATGCAAATTATCGGGGAAACAGAAAAACGTATAACAGCCGATAATTAAGAAATCATTTATATTATATTGACATTTCCGCCATTTGCGATATATTGGTTGCTCACTAAATTAAACTTTTAAAACCAAATGTTTTCATGAATGAATTAGCATGTACAACTCTGTTGAATGTTGTTAGAATCTGTCCCTGAATAGGTTCCGAATGTGTCGTCACACTGTGTCTTCATTGCGTGATCCATTTTGCTGGAAACCCAAAATAATGTCAGGTGTGAAGTGGGCCTGTGTTTGTTAGTTTAGTGATGTACATACTGCAACTCCAGCATGGTAACTGGTCCCACAGGCGATCAAAATGAGCCTTCGACATCTCTGGATCTCTTTAATGTGGTCTTTCAGCCCTCCCAAGGTCACTGCACACACACACAAACGTACGTTAAGAAAATCCAGTACAAATCAGCCAGTTCCAGTAAACTTGCTACTAAGCATTCAACTGAAATCTGATTCATTGCTCATGAGTCCAGTAAAAAAAAACATAAACATCTGGAAAATGTTTAGAAATACATACACCTCTTAAATCCATGTAATTGTTTCTAAGGAATTGTAAATTCCTTAGAAACTTTACCCACTTCTGTTCTGGAAGTGATTCACTGATCTGAGCACAGCTGGGCTCACCTGTGTTGTTCTCAAAGTTCACTCTTCCTCTCATGGTGTTGACCACTGACTCTGGCTGCTCAAAGATCTCCTTCTGCATGAAGGAACTGAAGTTTCCTGGTTTTAAAGAAGAACCAGAGTGATGTTAGCAAGTGGTAAACTACATTAGAACATCTAAGAATACTGTGGTGAAGCATGAGACGGAGTTCATTGGGTTGTGTTGAGTGAATTGTCATATTTTTGAGGATATATCATCTGGAACTGTTCTCGTCTCAAATGGCATCCAGGAGGCGTTATAAGCCAGGACTGAATAACTATTATCATAAGTTGCTGTTTACAGACAGTCTCTTTGACAGGATTAAGAGATTTTAGCCACTGACAGCGGTCAAAAACAAAGCCCTTAATGTTCTGCTCAATTACAAACTGCTCATTAATTATTTTCTCACGAAATTATTGAGAAGCACAGCAGGAATGCGAGAACAACTTTGAGGGAATGCTATACCCCGAAATTTAGGTCATGAGAATTTTTTTTTTTTTTTTTTTTTTTTTTTTACAATAAGCCAGATGAAATGTAGGGGGTGAGGAGAAAGGGGGGGAGGAGTGGATGGAGGGATGGAGGAGGAGCAAAAAAGGAGGAGAAATACACAGCAATGCACATCTGAAGTGATGTACTGCCCTCTGGTGGCAGGAGACCAAGTTGCACATTTGTTCTCTGACACAAGGTAGAGTTGTTGTATCCAACACAAGTCAGGGTGCACAGGTTTTCATCATTTCACTTAAAAGGTAGAGTGGACCGGACTGTATAGCGAAACTAAAAGCTGCTTTTTGACATGTAGGTGCAGTTCTCCCTGACAGGAACTACCAGGACGGATACATCTAAAGAGGAACCTCAGCTGTATACAACCACAACCTTTTTTCTAACGACAGCTTTATGAAACATGCAGTTCAGATGTTATAAATGACAGTTATAACATCACAATGTCAGTAAGGGATCAAATAAAGAATTACCACTGTAAAACGTCCTGAACAAGACGTGGTTGCGAAGGTGTATTGTATGTTTTATATTTAATATATGATGAATTATGTCTCAAGACACTTTCTTTTTCAAGAAGCCGTTTTACTCAGATATACGTAACAATAGGGAAGAAAATACTAATACAACTTTCGTTTCATGGTGACTTTAAAACAAAACTTATATATTAATACAAGTGCACAAGACATGAATGACATTTCTAAGATGCATTTGATTAATATAATTAAAAAATATTAAATTAATTAAATTAAAGATTCATCTATGACTGGTGAAGAATTTCATCTGTAGGGCCATTTTAAGTTTTATTTTTTCCCAAATTCTGTGTTTTCTGCATTTCATTTTAATGTTTGATTCCATTTTAATAATCCAAAAAGGATGACTAATGTACTGAATTCATAAAAAAAAAAAATACACACACATATACATACATATATATACCGGTATACATATTAGGGCTGTCAAACGATTAATCGCATCCAAAATAAAAGTTTGTGTTTACATAATATGTGTGTGTACGGTGTATAATTATGTTTAATACATAAATACCCACACATGCATGTGTATTTAAGAAATATTTGCATGTATATACTGCATATAGACTGAATGTAGCCTATATATAATGTATATTTTATATAAATATAAACATTTTATATATAAATAACATATTTTTCTTAAATATATACGTGTGTGCATTTATATACAAAATAATTATACACAGTACAAACATATATTATGTAAACACAAACTTTTATTTCGGATGCGATTAATCGTGATTAATCGTTTGACAGCCCTAATATATACACATACATATATATATAATCAAATGAATGAATAATTTAATTAATCTTTTAAAATGTCAACAATTTCTTTGTTTAGCAAACGTAGTGCCGCACAAGGGTTAACCATTTAAATTAAAATCTTTAATTAGTTAATTCTCTTTAACCTATATTTAACTGACAAGAGTACAACGAAAAGATTTGCAATGTTTTCACTGGCCTATTAAACAAAATTGGATTTGGATTGCTGCAACATCACTAGTTTGTCCTTAAACAACCTGAAAACAACCCATTTTAACCCTGCAAATGTGGGTCACACAGGGTGCGGCTGTTTCATATCCAATCATCTGTGTATTTCTCCCATGACATTTCTGTAATACGAGTTTATTCTCATATAACCAGACTGTTGAATATCAGCATAAAGGGCCATTCACACCAAGAATGATAACTATAAAGGTTTATCAATCGTTTAATTCTATGAGAATAGGGAAGTCCTCAACAAAATGATAACGACACAGAAGAATGACAACTGTTTTTTTTCAGCTGATGAACGATAAAAACATTGACAGACAATCAGAATCCACCCAAATTTGAAGAGCTCAGGGACTTAAAGCGGTCGATGGCAAAACTGTAGCATGCTTATTATAATAAACAAAGTTGTCGTCCATTGATGTGAGTGCTAATACAGTTATCATTATAGTTATTGTTCTTGGTGTGAACGGGCCTGAATTCTGATCATATTCTTGCCTACCAACTGAAGTGACATGTTTGCAGGCTTGGCATATCTGTGTTTTTAATACATTAACGGTAATAAATTAATGACTAACAGAATTTAACTCATAAAAAAAAAAAAAAAAAAAATTTATATACAGTATATATATATATATATATATATATATATATTAGTGCTGTCAAACGATTAAAATATTTAATAGCGATTAATCGCATTAATGTCATAGTTAACTCGCGATTAATCGCGCATTTTTATCTATTCTAAATGTCTCCTGATTTCATTTTGTCCCATTATTATTTCTCATTTAATTCTCTTATAAACATGGAAAAGTGGATCGGCTTGCTTTGTGCAAATGTTTTTTATTGAAAACAACATTGGCATATACTGTGTTCAATTTCACACTAACATTCTCACTTGGAGCAAATAATCTCTCACACAATGTAACACTGTCCATCAATAAAAGGGTGAAAGAAATACTGACGAGGTCCTGATATTGAGAGGGGGCGGAGAATTCGCATCAGCTGTGTGTGTGTGTGTGTGTGCTTGGCCATCATCAAGCGGTATTTTAGACTGGACGTGCTGCGATGATGATAGCTCAGTTCACAACGACAAAACACACAGATCACTTTGGTCTCGTCAATGGAACCATTTGGCAACTTTTTAAAAGTAAACTTTCCATTCAGAATCTTATTGGCATCCATTTCGGCGTCTCGCGCTCGTCATCCACTCAAAACGTAACGTTAACCTACTATTTGGCCGGCTCGCAAGCCCAAACAAGTGTGTGCGGCGTGCCTGTTGTTTTGTTTCCGGTCTAGCTAGATCCGACGAAGCAACAAAACGTTGCGTGCCGCGTGCCGCGTGCCGCATGCCCCATGCCACGTCCTGTTACAAAAACATGTGAAAAAAACGACAAAATTTGCTAGGCCAAAAAGACTGTTAATCGTGCGATAAAAAAAAAAATGTACGCCATTAAAATGTGACAGCCCTAATATATATATATATATATATATATATAAAAAAATAGGCCATGTACACATGGTATTTGTAGTCCAGAATGTGTGAGTTGTACTAATGACAATTCAATTATTTATAATTAATTACTTAAAACCTTTTTCCTGAAAAGAGACATGAACTTCGCAAACAATGTTAAATCTATAGTGCTTCCCCTGAAAGATATTTGATCCAGTTTGGATATATATATCATTTATAATACATGTTAATTTTTCTCAGGGGAAAAGGAAATCTCACAACTAATGCTGTAAACTATAAGGGGAACCCTGTAAAACCCTATTAAAGTTTAAAGTTAACAACTGATATGTGTACAAACATTTTAATTGCAGGCAGGTTTTATAACAATAAAGCTCCTCTCTAGAGTTATTTAATTTAATTGACTAACAAGTAATGATCATTGAATGGCTTTTCTGAGGTAAATGTAACATTATGTAACATTGTTTACAATCGGTTTTACTGAGGTATATCCACGGTTCACTGACTGAGTGATGACATGAGACATGATATATAGAGATGCACCGATTGATCGGCTGGTGACCGGAATCGGACGATTTTCACGTGATCGACCATGATCGGCGACCGGCCGGTCAGTCTGACATGCCGATTTTATGCCGGTCAAATGCACTCGGGCGCCGCATGATTAACATCGCGCAACATCAGCATTACACATGCACACGGAACACACATGTAGGAAACCTTGTGAATTAGACCGTTTCACACCGCAAGCGAGAGCAGCGGGGTTTTTTTTTCTTCGGCGTGCATGTTAATCAATGAGTGCATTCACACCGGGAGCAGGAGCAGTGCGTAAGCGTCAAGCAGGAGCGTCGCGTGAGCAACAGTGAAGCGCGGGTTTCAGCGCCAAGTCTATTCTGCTCGCGCTCAATTAAAGTGAAAGCATACTTTTGATGGACAAAACAAATATGATTTCACCCCAAAAGAGTCTGCAGAATTTGCACGTCTGGTGTGTTTTAACAAAAAGTAGCCAGGCTATGTCAGAAAAGAAAATTAAGACTCAAAAATATTTATAGAAAATAACTTGTTTTTATTCCCAATCGTTTCTCTGCACATGCTCCACTTGTCCTGTTTAGCCTGGCTGGACATGTGTCAGAGAGAAAAACTGTTTGAGAAATATAACTTGTCATTGATGTACAAGTGATTGCAATAGGCTTGTGTGTGTGTGTGTGTGTGTGTGTGTGTGTGTGTGTGTGTGTGTGTGTGTGTGTGTGTGTGTGTGTGTGTGTGTGTGTGTGTGTGTGTGTGTGTGTGTGTGTGTGTGTGTGTGTGTGTGTGTGTGTGTGTGTTGAGAAATATATACTGCAAGGGTAGGCTATATTTATTTTATTTTTATTTGTTATTTATATATTATTTTATTGCCATTACCTGTTTTCATACAAAAGTTTAGTTTGCTAAATATATCAATTTTTTTTTGTTGGATATTGGATCTGAAAAGGAAATGGTTCTTCCATAACACTGCACTTTAGATGTGTGTGGATTTCCCACACCAGGAGTAATTTATATAGTCCTATTCTATAGCGATTATCTGTAAAAAAAAATGTTCTATGCAAAATGTTCTATTAAAGAGAAGATAGAAAATAAATATTTGTGTGTGCTGTAAAGTGGTTTAAAAAAAGGAAATCGGAATCGGCTAAAATCGGTATCGGCAGGTCAAACTCAAGAAAAATCGGAAATCGGAATCGGCCTAGAAAATTGTAATCGGTGCATCTCTAAATTTCTCTAAGTTCTACGGTGTCTTTCAACATCCCTTCTGGTGCTCATTCATGTTTATTTCCTTCTATAAACAGTAAAGAGGAAGAGCCAGTCAATCATGTTGGAACTGGGGATTTCAATCAGCTCTTGGCATTTTTTGCATGCATCTGTGCTTACCCTTCATGATCTGCTGCAGTTCCATCTGAAGGGTCTGGATGGCGCGGGCCGGATGGTCTCCCGCGGTGCGCTTGATCCGATGAATGGAGAGACGACCGTCACTCACTGCCGCAATATCATCGTCCTCGAGGAAGATGACCTGATTGGTGTGCTCGATGACAGCACTGCAGTGACAAAAGCACAGACATATGAATACCAAGTTCATCATGAAACTCTAGATGGCGCAGGCTGAAGGGTCCTTAACGCGATCCTGCTGACAATCCCACTACAAACTACACGGCAGACGCTGATTGGTTCCTGTTGCATCTGTAGCCGACTAGCTTTCTGCTTAACATTCAAAAAGTAGATCGATGTTGCTGTAGCAGTTTACAGCACGCTTTCAGAGTTCCTCTGAATCCCTCCACCTTCCCCAGCTCCACCTGTATATTGTTTTATTTATATATGCTATTTGTGCAGAAGCAGCATGTCTTATATGCTCACAGCAGCATGTATGTACCGGTATGCGGAGTAGCAAGTTTCTGTACTTGCTCTGCAGCATAGCAGATCTATTCCGCCATTAACACAGTCAAATACACTACCATGCAAAACTTTTCAGAGGGTTGCCATGATTGAAATGCATTCAAACACCTATTCTGTTTAAAACACCTATTCTGTTCTCTTCTTGGGTTTTGCCCCATGGGCTTCAAAAACAGTGCAAACGAATAAATTCTCTCTGAAATTGCACAATATATGGATAAAACCAAAAAAAGAAAGTAAATGGATGAAACAAAAGAATGAACCTGGCATCAGATGCGAAGTAGTATTCCACAGCTTTCTCCTCCACAGGAAATAGACACGTGTCCTGGTCCAACCTGGGCAGAGTACTGCAGCTCTTTTTATCTTTACCAGCTATATAAAAGATACAAACAACATTATCATTCATTATAGAACGTAACAGGGGAATTTAACAGAAATTTACAGAATTTTTTGTTTACACTTTATTTTGGTTAACTCGAGAATATATGAAGACTTCAGATGCAAAAGCCTGCAAAAGTGCCATCTGAAATTTTCTTCTAGAATGATCATTTTTATCAAGCTTGTATGTTTATGTTCAGTTATTTCACTTTAACGGCAATGGAAATTACCTATTAATTGTCATTTAAAGTGAAATTACTGAATCTAAATATACGAGATTGATAAATGTGCTCTTTTTAGAAGATAATTTCAGATGGCACATATAGGCTTTTGCATCAATCTTCATATGCAGGAATGATATTTATGACGCAAATAAAAGTTGCATTGAAGCAGGATAATGCAACAAGTTATGCATTACAACATACTCAAAAATGCATATTGTGCATATCTTGGTTTTGCCACTATATGAATGCTTATTAATCGGCTATCAAATTGTACTTTATTTTTGGACTTCTGGACTTATTTGACAGAAATATTTGAAGGGAATTTAGTTCCATTGGACAAAGACGGGCCAATGGAATCTTGCTCAATTATACACGTGTCAGTTTTTTTGCAAATGTAAATTGTGCTGAACGCAGTGTGAGGTCTGTATGAAGACAGTGTGTGCAAACTCACAGGAGCGATACAGGATGGGGATGTGATCTGTGGAAAGCTTGTGGTCACTTCTAACTCCAATCAGTAATGGACCTCCTCTCCTAGATGGAAGCACAGAAACATCCATTTGAGAAATTAAAATAAGACTTATGTTTAAAAATTGATTTGGCTGATTTGCTTTTAGTTGTATTGGTGCCGTTGACGACTTTCAAGCGATTGGTAATTGTTTTTTTAGTAAACGCATTCAACCACATCAGTTCAAATCAGTTTCAAAATTAAAGTCTGTTTGAAAGGTGATAATTGAGTTTGAACTTGATTTGAGGATGGCTTGAGTTGATTTGAACTTGACATGTGAAGTTCTCCTGTGTGTATGAATACAAATATTCCACGCAATAATAAACAGATTGTATATTTCTCTAACTGCAACAAAACAGAAATCAAAGCAAACCTGAAATAATGTAATAATAAAACTACTTTGCTCACACTTTTTGGCTCACACACAAGCTTACACGTGTAAAGATAATTTGCTGCTGGACTCTGCACTAGCCCTCACCAGGTGTTGACATTGCATTTCTATGAAAGGGCTTTCACTTGTGCCTTGATAATTACATTTTGGTAACATTTTACAACAGGGTCCCATTAGTTAACGCATTAACAAAAGTAACTTGTGCCTTGATAATTACATTTTGGTAACATTTTACAACAGGGTCCCATTAGTTAACGCATTAACAAAAGTAACTTGTGCCTTGATAATTACATTTTGGTAACATTTTACAACAGGGTCCCATTAGTTAACGCAGGGCTCGACATTAAGGCTTGTCCGCTTGTCCGGGACAAGTGGATTTTTTGTAGGACAAGTAGAAGAGAAAATTAGTTGTCCGACCGGACAAGTTAAATTTCAAACAAAATAAAATGCCATGTTACTTCACGTTATGTGCCACTCGTTACGTCTATTTTACAGATTTAATTTTACCGATTTGAAACGAACACATTTTTTCGCGCTGCCTGTGAATGTCCTGAATGTGACTAGGGGTGGGAATCTCTAGGCACCTCACGATTCGATTCGATTACGATTCAGAGGGCTGCGATTCGATGCTAAATCGATTATCAGAATCTTTTTTTTGTGTGTGTGTGACTATAAATACTTTGCTTTAAAAGTACAAAGTAATGACCCATAAAGAATTAACGTACAATATATTTTATTAACATTGCAAAGAACCAACAGGAAAATACATGTGTGTCTGAACTAGCAGCAGCATATTTGTAGTAAATTAATAATATAACAACGACCGGTAACGTTACAGCCGAGTGTTTTTCCTCCTCTGGCTGGAAACGTGTCATATGGCTTCTCATATGTGTCTTGTTTCCGAAATATTTTAGTTTTACTCTACAAAGCTTACAACTAGTGTGGCTCTTGTCCAGCTCCTTTCCCCCTTCAACTTCAGAAGCCAAAATATTTCCACACGTCAGCTTTTAACGAGGAGGGTGTTTTATGGAAAGCCGTTAGGGCCAAAAACACGCGAATTTTAACGCGTATTTCACGCGTATTTCACGCGTAAAATACGTGTATTTTACGCGTGAAATACGCGTTGATTATGTCACGCGTATTTCACGCGTATTTCACGTGTAAAATACACGTAAAATACGCGTGAAATACGCGTGACATAATCAACGCGTATTTCACGTGTAAAATACGCGTATTTCACGTGTATTTTACACGTAAAATACGCGTGAAATACGCGTTAAAAATCAGTATGAACGGGTCCGTGTCATTGGCTGCTGAAGACTTGGGTCTAACCATTTGTGTGAGCTTAGAGGGGTGTACCTTTCATAGACTAGGCTACCACCAGTTTACATTCTATAGATCAGCTTATTCAGGTTTTTTGTATAACCTATATGAATAATATATTTAAATAGCAGTTTTATGACAATTAATTTTTTTTATGACAATTAATTTTATGACAATTTAGATAAAAATAAAATTAACTTGTTTTTCTCCACTCATGCCTTTTTGTAAATAAACACATTAGTGGACATTCTAGCTTTAACATCAAAGCATTAACGTGTGTGGGGAAATCAGTTACAGTGGAGGTAACCAATGCAGGTTTATGATCACTGCAGGTTTAAGATACAGACCACTGTAATCAATATCTGTCTTTGGAAAACAACGTGAGCTTTTGTTGTGCTTACATTTACAGCTATAGCAAGCAGGGGGCGCTTTTTCAAACCTTTTTGTTCTGAAATTGGGCACTCAGACAAACTGTAATTAGGTATACAGGTGATATTATCAATTTAAAGGAATTTAATGACTTAAAGTATTTAAATATGTTATTTAAGGCTTTCAGGATTAGAATGAGAGCTTGTGCTCAGGTCAGGACAGGTATAAGAACTTGATTTGGCTTTCCTGACAGCAGAAGTATTTTACAGGTCACCTTGGTAATTGGTATTAAAGCAATTTATCTGTAAAAATGATTAGACACTTTGGTAAAACACCATATAACATTTAAGTAAACATATAAACATAAAAATCAGTGACGTAACTTTGTTTTAAAAAGTGGGTGGAACAGGTGGGGTGGGGGTTGCTAATAAAATGCTAAATCAGATTTATGCTACAATAACATTACGACGTCCAGCAATCGATTTAAATAGTAGGCTACATGGGGTTTAATTTGTTGTTTAATGAGATGAAGTATAATAATGTATGTTGTCAGTGTGTTGTCTCTAATATTTAATGTTAGAATATTTACTCTGCATTTTCTGTTTCTATAGAAAACCACACACTAATACACCCACAACTAAGTACAACCATTCAATCCTTGTTAATAACTGAGTTGTTGGGGTGACAAATAAACAGGTTACTCTCAAATTTCCAACATATTTTCACCAAGTCTCTTACGGACACCATGTGGCATATTTCATACCTAACCAGCAGTTTACTGAAATGAGACTGCTATAAAGCCAACTCGTTTTTTTTTTTTTCAGTTCCCCACTTACTTTACCTTCCTCAAGCTGACAGAACACATCCAAGCTTGTGATCATAAATTCATACAAATCATCTGCATGATAAAAGGTACTGTGGGTTAGTTTGTTAACATATTACTATTTTAAATCAGAATTGATTTCACTGAAAATTTATTACATTTAGAAAAAATGAAATGAAGCTGAACTCTGCAGGGCAGAGGGCATTGACCCTTGAGGACCGTGTTTGCCCATTGCATTCGGAGCATTCCAAGTGAACCCTGCTGATGTAAAAAAAAAAAAAAGTGTAAAGGGTTAAATTAGCAATTTAAAAGGGTAGTCATTGCAGTGTCACCTGTAAATCTATCTTTGTTATCATGGGCGTCAGTTTGGTTTGAAATGTGCTGGGGACAGAGACGCATTCGGAAGTGCATTTTCAGTGCATTTTCAGAAGTGCTGGGTACAATGACGTATTAATTTTTTTTCTCTCTTTCGGGCAGGTTATGTTTTCAAAGACGATGTCCTGTAGCTCAGGCAACGGCCCCACTTTTCAACAGGCCCACCCAAAACTTTCACACACACAAAAAAATCCTTTTACTATATTCTAATTTTGTCAATAATTATAAAAAAAAAATTGCCAAAAGCTCATAATTTGTGCTCAAGCGCACGACCGCACGCATAAAGCTTGCCACAAAGAACCGGTAAAAGTAATGATAATAAATGCGTCTAATACGCTGTGAATGTGAATGTGCATTATACGCCGAGTTTCGGTTAATTTATGAGACGAACTCCAATTCACTCGCCGGCGCCTCCATGTCGTGATTCTGCTATATTTACTTCTTATTTATTAAATAAATCCAGACAATTGGTTCATGAAACATTGATTAAAATTAAGATATAATTAATATAAAACGAAAATAAATGTAAAGAAAGGCAGCTGTTCTGTTTGAGGTCTCTGTGAAAGTTTTAAAGAAGTCTTTTAGTGCCGCTTTCAGAACGCTCACGTCCGTAAACGAGAACTGACACGTTGTTTTTTCCCTCATAAATGCGAACAGAAAAATCAATAAAAAATGTATTATAGTGTTGTTTTTTTTGCTGGGTCAGACAATGATTGCCAAATTTCTCTCTCATATTGCTCCTCATAACCACTGAAAACGGTCCAAAAAATCGAACCAAAAGTCAAATTAATATGGACGGGAGTTAAAAGTGGTGGGTGCAAAATGACTCATGACGAAATCTGGTGGTACGAAATCACCGCATCCCCGAAATCGACGCCTATGTCTGTTAGCTTTATTTTATTAAAGCCTTCTATGATAAAGTTGATAAATGTCCATGTAATGACACTGTGAATGTGGAAAATAAATTGCATAATAGATATAATTTATTGATCCCAGGTTTAAATTTGGTCATGTCACCATTGCTCACATTTAAGAAAAGAAATAAAAGCGTATGTGAAATCTTAAAAATTAAGATTACTTGTACATATACTCTACTTATGAAACTAAACAGTAGAAAATATAGATTTGAGTATTGCACAGTTTAATTTATTGCATTTGTATTATTGTACTATTAAAGCATTGTATGTTTAAAGATATAAAGGATATGGAGCTAAGATAAAAGGATATTAAGCTGCTGACAAGTCTGAGGTAAGTACAAATTGCCCTGAATATTAGTTAATAATATATGACACTGAGGGAGGACTTGAAATTATGACCTGGAATGGTTTCCTGAGGCTGTATTGCAGAAACAACTTCAGTCAGAGTAATATCTTGTCTTAAGTAACCACTGTGATTTCATTTTGGAACCAATTTAAAACACTGAACTTGTCAGATTATAACTTGGGGCTTAAAGGTATAGTTCACCCATTTACACCCTTATGTTGTTCCAAAGTTTCTTTCTTGTGTGGAACTTCCATACTATGGAAAAAAATATTATGGAAGTCAATGGGGACCAGCAATGTTTGGTTAACAATAATCTTCAAATATTAGTAACCAAACATTCAAAGAGGCTCATGCATGTTTGAAACAACATGAGGGTGAGTTAATGAAGACAGAATTTTAAATTGAGTGAACAATACCTTTAAGATAGGACGTTTCTGTAATTTGGTCCCTGCAAGCAAGGTTATGTTGTTTTAACAGATATTCATTACAATTGCATTGATCAAGAACCACAGCTGTAAACTTTTCCACAATCAAATGTTAACTTTTAATATTAGAAATCTTGAGTTGGGTTGATTTGTTTTACAGATAAATTCCTACTTTTCCTGTAGCTCAAACCGTAGAATGTTAGCGCTTGCAAAATTCATGCAAGGGTTCGATTCCCAGGGAAAGCAAGAACTGATAAGAACGTAAATGTGTACATTGAAATGCAATGTAAGGCACTTAGGATAAAAGCATCTGCCAAATGCCAGGGACTGCAGATGAAATTTAGCTCTGTAGCTAATTCTGGGACAGTTCTTTACTGTCCATTGTCCCTGTTATAATAATAATAATAATATGTAAATGTACTAATATGCAAAAGGGGGCAATCTTGGTAAAAATATTTGTTCATAAAAATGCAATCTATCTATTTTCTTTGGGCTACACAAGAAAACGACGAAAAAGAAAAAAAGAAATAGGAGGATATTTAATTTTGGTAGCAGTAAAATACTTCTGCTGTCAGGAAAGCCAAATCAAGTTCTTATACCTGTCCTGACCTGAGCACAAGCTCCCATTCTAATCCTGAAAGCCTTAAATAACATATTTAAATACTTTAAGTCATTAAATTCCTTTAAATTGATAATATCACCTGTATACCTAATTACAGTTTGTCTGAGTGCCCAATTTCAGAACAAAAAGGTTTGAAAAAGCGCCCCCTGCTTGCTATAGCTGTAAATGTAAGCACAACAAAAGCTCACGTTGTTTTCCAAAGACAGATATTGATTACAGTGGTCTGTATCTTAAACCTGCAGTGATCATAAACCTGCATTGGTTACCTCCACTGTAACTGATTTCCCCACACACGTTAATGCTTTGATGTTAAAGCTAGAATGTCCACTAATGTGTTTATTTACAAAAAGGCATGAGTGGAGAAAAACAAGTTAATTTTATTTTTATCTAAATTGTCATAAAATTAATTGTCATAAAAAAAATTAATTGTCATAAAACTGCTATTTAAATATATTATTCATATAGGTTATACAAAAAACCTGAATAAGCTGATCTATAGAATGTAAACTGGTGGTAGCCTAGTCTATGAAAGGTACACCCCTCTAAGCTCACACAAATGGTTAGACCCAAGTCTTCAGCAGCCAATGACACGGACCCGTTCATACTGATTTTTAACGCGTATTTCACGCGTATTTTACGTGTAAAATACACGTGAAATACGCGTATTTTACACGTGAAATACGAGTTGATTATGTCACGCGTATTTCACGCGTATTTTACACGTATTTTACGCGTGAAATACGCGTGAAATACGCGTTAAAATTCGCGTGTTTTTGGCCCTAACGGCTTTCCATAGTGTTTGGATTTGGCGCTCAGCCATCGCGTCCGCGTCTGTTATGTGCACGCCACAGACGGTCCGGCCACTGCACTTCCGCGCTTCAGAGTTCCGTCTTTCGCGTTCCGTCAATATTACGTTATTATAAATATATATCTAAATTTTTTTTTTTTTTTTTTGAAAATCGATTTTTGACAATTGTGAATCGATTCAGAATCGTCCACATCCGCATCGCGATGCATCTAAGAATCGATTTTTTCCCCCACCCCTAAATGTGACTCACAGAAAGACGTGCGCCAGTATAATGCGCATGCACAGACCGCGCGCCAGAAGTTCTCTTTCGCGCTTGAACGAACATCAACAACACACACAATTAAGCCAAAATGTCATTTGTCGAGTATCTTCATAACATAAGAACAGTCTTATGATGGACATAAAGAGTTGTGACTCGTGAGAGAATGAGGCGCGTGTGATATCCGCGTCTCTGTCCACAGCGGCTGCTCTTAAAGGGCCAGCTACCAATAAAGCGTTCTGTCAGTAAAGTTACTGAAAGAACAAAGGGAACAGAGAAAATTACTCACTGCTCTTGACTAAAGAACTTGTGTAGCTTCAATAAGTAGTAGTCTATATATAATTTATAATTTATGCAGCCCAGACTGTTTGATAACTTTATTCAATTTCTGTATATGTCCTACCTGTTAGACAGTTAATTTTTATCCAGACATCAATGGCTTATTGATCATTATAGGTGTTATCAATCATTTAGTTGTTATTGCTAATTTCAGAATTATCACTAATCTGTGTGTGCATTTGGATTAGAACCAAACAAGTTGACTCATGAAACCATTTGTTTATTATATCGCAATCGCATATCACAACCGCAATATTGAACTCAATAATCGCAATATGACATTTTCCCCAAATCGTGCAGCCCTAGATAAAATTACAAATCTTTACCCGGACAAGTGACTTTTGTGCATGGACAAGAGAAACATAAATTTACTTGTCCGAAGGACAAGTGCCTCAAAAAGTTAATGTCAAGCCCTGAGTTAACGCATTAACAAAAGTAACTTGTGCCTCTTGATAATTACATTTTGGTAACACTTTACAACAGGGTCCCATTAGTTAACGCATTAACAAAAGTAACAAACAATGAGCAATTAATCTGTTACAGTATTTATTCATTTTTGTTAATAAATGTAGTGCGGTAGTTCATGTTAGCTCAAATCTATTAAATAATGTTAAAGGTACACTATGTAACTTTTTTTTGTTCAAAATTTCAATAATGAGGCAATACATCATCAATCCTTTTACCATTCACTATGGTAAACCTATTAATTGTTTATATTTTAGACCTGTCTGGATGGTTTTTATGGAAAATTGCTTACTTGATGCGTCACTCAATCTAATCACTCAATCTGTAAATAGAGAAAAGTTGCTCCAGCTACTTTGACGATTGTCTGGCGTGGGTAGGGCTGGGCGATAAAACGATAACGATAATTATCGCGATATAATCTTTCTCGATAAAACGATATCAAGAGGTCGATAAATGTTCGATAATGTGTATGCGCCAAAAGCGGAACGAAAATCATTTGAACCGCGCGCCTCACGGACCGTTTATCCGGTCGGCTCAAAGTCCAAATGGCAGCGCGAGCTCACTAGAGCCGACGCGTTTAGGTTTACTCTGATCGTCTCGCTCACGAGATCTAGTGAGAAGCGCTTAAGTTCAGTGAAGAACACAAATGTCCAGTTTAAATCAGTTTAAAGGCAGATGAAACACCGCTGACAAACAGGAGAAACACTGTACGCAACGATTCAGTCAGATTCTGAATTGAAACTGAATCCATTTAGCCTACCATGGATTTACTGTAACGTTAGCCTAGTAATATTAACTGCACCATGAAATGTGGGATATACATATTGAATTGTATAATATTATTAATGTAGACAATGTATTAAATGACTAATGGAATATAATTACAGTATTTAATAATGTATTTAACTGTTAGGCTACTGTTTTTCATACAAATACCATAGAAACCATAAAGTTACATTTTGCCATGATAGTGAGGTGCTAAGTTATAGGCTGTACCTGGCTTTATCTGTGGTTATCATGATCTAAATGCATGATACTGGATGACCAATGGTTAATTTTAATAAAACTCAAACAGTCAGAATATTACATTTTACCAAATAAAAATGTGGTCCTTAAATAAAACAAACAAACAGATGTTACTGTTTTTGTTAATGAACATAAATTTAACATAGTAGGATTAGCTTGAGTTAGGATGCAGATTTACTGTCAACTCACTGTCAAAAATGCATTTCGAGACAAAACATGTAATTTGAATATTGCAGCCTGCACTGCAAACTGTGCTGAAGAAATATTTTTCTTTTCAAATATTTATTTTGTTAAGGAAAAATGACAAATGTTTGAATGTTCTACCTCAGATTTTTAAAACCACAACACTCTGGTTTATACAACTTTCACTTAGGAGCAAAAATCTGCCTTTAAACTTGAAAGAAATAAAGATTTGACATTTATCGTGATAATTATCGATATCGACTGATATAAAAAAAAATATCGTGATAATTTTTTTTGGCCATATCGCCCAGCCCTAGGCGTGGGAGTGCCAAAGGTTAGTTGTCACAACAACGAGCGAGAAAGGCTGACATGAAAATCATGAACCTACGAGGAATCACCCGTAAAAAAAAAAAAAAAAAATTAATTTAAGCACATATGTTGACTTTAACTTTATCAGGTTGATGTTACCTGCTGCCTACTGTCTCTCCTGGATAGTGCACACTTTTGAAGACAAGGACAAAAGCTCCTTCCTAAATAGAGAAGGCATTTATTACCACATCATTCTCATTATTCATGACCTTAGATCTTGTCAAGGTGACAGAAAAGGTGTTTACTAGTTGTTGGGTGACTTGTTCAACGAGGGTGGCGAAGGTGATGTCGCTCTCCCGGTTGTCATACATGTACTTCAACAGCTTAGCGATGGTCTCTGTATCTGTCTCAGACTCAAACTCATAACCTTTACTCTCCTGAACACATAAAAACAGAAGTGGTCAAAATATAGCCATATGATGGTTGTTTGGATGAATGGATGGATAGATGATGCCAAAATGTTTTACTTGCCAGAAACTTCTTCAGGTCTTTGTAGTTGGTGATGATTCCATTATGGATGACAATAAACTCTGCAAGCAAATAAAATAATCACAACTATAAAATGATCCATTCTTTCACAGACTTGTCAAACTAAACATTTGTAATGAAAAGCAGGCTGTTGGTAACAGACCGTTGTTCTTGTCTGATCTTTGCGGGTGGCTGTTGACAGGGCTGGGGGCTCCATGAGTGGCCCATCGAGTGTGAGCGATTCCCAGGTGCACATCGAACTCCACCTCAAGATCAACATCCTGCTGCCCTGTGGAACAAGATGTTCAAATACAAACTGATAATCTCATATTTCAAAGAAATAGTGACATGATCACACTTGGACTTGGCCAATGCACTTCAAGTGTGCAACCCATTGTACGTGTTAAAGAAAAGGAGAAATCTAGTTTAAAACACGTTCTTCGAAATGTACTCAAGTTTCACTTTTGTTGCCAGCTATTTTTACAATAATGGCTGTGTGTTGAGTTATTTTCAGACGACAGTAAATCTATACTGCTATACAAGCAGCACATTGACTACTCTAAAATCTATCCAAGTTTCATTTCTATTTTATTTTCCCTTGAGAAGATATACTAAAATGTTTGCTGAAATGTGAGGGGTGTACTCACTGAGATACTCTCTGTGTGTGTGTGTGTGTGTGTGTGTGTGTGTGTGTGTGTGTGTGTGTGTGTGTGTGTGTGTGTGTGTGTGTGTGTGTGTGTGTGTGTGTGTGTGTGTGTATAAATATATAAATAATTTGGACTAGCATTGGAAAATGTTTAAAACACTTAAAAGCCATATCTCTAACTAAGTTGTGTTCCGATTTCCCAAAAGTTCAGCCCGCTAAATGGTTTTAAAGTACCATTTCCATGATAACGCAATGTCCAACTTCAAAACATTTTTCACAGGATGAATTTTGAGTGTTAAGCTTTCGAATGCTAATTTATGATGATAACTAAAATATGTGCTAGGGGAAAAAAAGCAGTAAAAAAAAGAAGCATGCCAAGTGCTTTAGTTTAATGACTAATGTGATGTAACCAAGTAAAAAGTAACAAAAATAAATTTACACTGTGCACTTCTAAATATATTTTTTACAGTAAAAAGTATTTTTTACAATATTATGAATCAATAATTTATTACCACTGTTTTTGTGGGCCACACAGCACATGACTTTGATTTTAAGGACAAATGTTTTTCATATTTTAATAAACAGGGAAGCAGATTTGTTATTTTCCTTGCAAGAATTGGATAGGCGTGTCATCTTGACATTTTTACTTGTCATTGTCACATTGTTTACAATTTACAGCTTAATCCACTGTAACTTGCTCATCAAGATTATCAACTGTTCGTTAGTATGAGAAAACAGAAACTAGAAGACAGTTTTCACTGATGCACGCTACAGAGCTTCTTGCGGCAATGTTGAGAATGAGACGCACACTTGAATGTGTTGTGGTTCGCGCTGTGACATTTCGAAGCACATTAACTTGTGAAGTCAAGCTTCTAGAAGCGTTCTCATATTGGCATGGGGTGTGTTTTGGGCCTTAACCTGAACCTGCAAAATGAACAATTACTTACTGTGGATTTCATCATCCAAGGCTTTCACTTTTCCTGATTGTTTGATCAGGTGGATGCTCTTGGAGTTGGTTTCCCATTCCTTACTGTTTCCCCCATCAATACCCACACCTGCAAGACAGAAAGAAAATGCTAGTTTCAAGATCAGTGGGTCCTGTTCCAGAAGAGCTAATTGTAATTGTGTGTGTGTGTGTGTGTGTGTGTGTGTGTGTGTGTGTGTGTGTGTGTGTGTGTGTGTGTGTGTGTGTGTGTGTGTGTGTGTGTGTGTGTGTGTGTGTGTGTGTCAGTTTTATGAGCCGTTTGTTCCTGACCTGCGGAGTCATAGCCACGGTACTCCAGCCGATGCAGACCTTTGATAAGGACCTCAAGGATCTCACGGCGAGTGCGAGGCACGTGATAATTCAGATACGCAAAGATTCCTTCAGAGAGAAAAAGAAAGTGTGTTTTTCAGTATGGACAGTGCAGTCAAACATTTCAGTTTATTTGTAAACTCAGCAATCAAATCAAAAACTAGAAATACAATGCATAATGTGATATCAGATGTAAAAGCCATTTCATCAATTTTTAAATAGCTGAAGCTAAAGGACCTTAAAAAGTGATTAGCTTATCTAGATATTAATGTGAAAATGCAACAAAACTGGTTTGGGTATGCTATGCAAAGCAGGTTGAGTGGTAGCCTAAAAGTTTTTAAATTGCCTATACAAAGATTTTAAAAGTTTCTAAGTCACAAATTGGATCATTTTTCGGAACAGCAAAAAAAAAAAATTTACTCTGATTTTCATTTATTACTTAAAACCCACTTTAAGTACTTCAATACCACTGCAAAAATCTAGCTTTAATAAACATTATTAAATAGAAGTGAACAGTCAATAATAAATAGAAAACAAATACACAAATTACAAGCATATATAAATACAATACAACAAAGTTACACAAAGTAATGTCTAACAGTAGTATCAGGTACAGAAATATAATCATTAAAATGTAAAATTGCACTAAAGTTCACTGTATAAATTAAATGAGTCAATGACATGAAGTGCATATTTTTGTTTTTATATATTTCCTTTTAAAATAATTTGATGAGTGCATGACATACCCTATATCATTTTAATCTATAAAACCTAGGGCCTATTTTAGTTAAGTCCTTTTTAGTCAATTTAAATACATTTTATTCTATGTTTTGTTATCTTAAACCCCCCAAAATGTCAGGTGATGCAACTCTCCGCACAAATGAACAGACTAAGAAACTACTTAAAATGGTGTCCTAATAATAAAAAATTAAAAACTAAATACTATGGAATCATTTTAGGTTTGAAACCTTTCATATAAACAAATGTAATAATTATCAGTAGTTTTAAAGCTGTTGGGATAACTGAAAAACTTTTGTCCAGCGATTTGTATGTCAGGGTGGCACAACTGCACACATCATGGCTCTTATTATGAATTGACAAGGTAATAACAGTAAACATGATAATACATCATCCAGAGGAGCCCGACTGATCCTTGTGGCGGAGTGAAAAGGTTTGTTGATCTCTCTCAAACACTGGTAAAAACTGCTCATTTCAAGTATGAGTACGTTGGTACACTTTCCATGGCAGGTTGTACAACTACAGTATGCATACAACTATTTAGTTGTGCCGCTTGACATAAACAGTAAAAAAAAAAAAAAAAAAAGTTATTTAACAACTGAAACTTTAAACATTGTTCATGACTCAAAAATATGCATTACATCAGTTTTGAGAGGTTTTTACAAACACCTTTTTTGAAGCTTTTTTGTCAATGACCCAAATATAGATTAATTGTGTTAAAGTGGTGTTTTGTTGTTTGATTAACATTAATGACAGACAGGTTAATGCAGGTATTTATAGGCTGCTGTCCCTTTAAGATGTAATATAATGAATTTCTCAACAGTTAAACATAACCGACTGCGTTTACGAGAATACTTGCCAAGACGGGCATTTTAAAGGGGTCCTATTATGCCCTTTTACGAAGTCTTGATTTAGCTTTTGGGGTGTACTGGAATATGTTTTCATGCTTGATTGTTCAAAAAGCACATTATTCTTCAAATATATTACATCATCCCAGCACCTCTCTCCTCAGTCTGTCTCAAACATGCAGTCTAGGTCCTGTTTGATGAAACCTCTCCTTCTGAAATATGAAATGTGCTGTGATTGGTTAGCTGGCCTAGTGTGTTGTGATTGGCAGCGCGTAGCGCGTGTTTATGAAATGTTCCGCCCCTTCGTAACTGCGAGTTCTGCTCTAGTGTAAGTATTAAGGGTGGCGTCAATTTAAAACCAATTTGATTTTGATTCAGACCCTGACAATGTTAACAAACAAGAGGATCGTGCAGAACGGATTTCATGCATGGACTTTGCATGCATGTCCTAGCATGAGCTAGTGCAGCTCATGCTACTTCTGATTAATTGCAAATTTAAAAGACACACACACAAATAAATACATGTCATTAAATTTCCATAAAACTTTTATCAAAATTTAAAAAATATTTCTGCGTTTAAGTCTTTGTCATAGTTAGAACATATAAAATACCAATTGCTTTTGCTATTCTTTGGAAAACTTTAGTCTCTCTAAAAACAGCACAGCAAACAATCAGTAAAGCACAAGACTCTCCCAGACGAAGTGACAGCTAGACAAAATTAAACATGCAAAGCAAAGAGTGATGTCAATAATGATAAGACAGTGTTAAAGACGACATTTGACACCTTTTAAATTACAGAGGACAAGGCGCTAGAAAAAAGGCAAATCAACAAAGACATTGCCACAAACAAAGAAGTGATACTATGAGTATGCAATTAAGACAATGAAGAAGCCTAATGGAAAGAAACATCAATCTGTGTGGATAGTACACAATCAGAAAAAAAATCGATGTTCAGCTCAGCAAAATCTGGTGTAAACAGCGAGATGAGGAAAGTGAAAATAAAGAAAATGACTAGTATAAATGTTCCTATCTTCATAGGGGATAAATATACTCCAAGTACAGCACTTACTATGAAAGGAGAGAAACGTCACAGAAGCACCATTCAGTGGTCTGCACTTGTGTGTGTGTGTGTGTGTGTGTGTGTGTGTGTGTGTGTGTGTGTGTGTGTGTGTGTGTGTGTGTGTGTGTGTGTGTGTGTGTGTGTGTGTGTGTGTGTGTGCGTGTGCGTGTGCGTGTGCTAGTCAAACAAGGCTCTGCTTTATTAAAACAGATGACCCGCTAAAATGAATGAAAGATGGATTGTTAATAGTTTCATCCCCCACCTTAAAAAAAAATAAACCTGAGCCTATATCAATCAAAAAGATGTACTTAGTTTAAACATACTGTACATTACTGTTGAAAAGTTTGAAGACTGTTTTTATGTTTTTTAAAGTATTTTAAGACTGAATTTATTTGACAGCAGTAAAACTGTGATATTGTGAAATATTATTACAATTTAAAATAACTGTTTCCTATTTTTAATTTCCAGTTTAAAATACTCCGGTCTTCAGTGTCACATGAAATCATTATAATATGCTGATTTGCTGCTCAAGAAACATTTCTGATTATCATCAATGTTGAAAATAGTTGTGCTGCTTAATTTTTTTTTGTAGAAACTGATATATTTTCTTCAGGATTTTTTGATAAACAACTCAAAGGGAAAAATACAGCATTTACTTGAAACAGTCTTTGCATGAAAGTGTAAATTTCCTCTTCAAAATGTTTTACTCATCCTAAACTATTGAATAGTGTAGCTAACTTTAGGGGAATAGTCGGTAACGCTTCCTTTTACAGTACAGTACTTAGTTCAGGGTTAGTACCTAGTTATTACCCAGTAATTGTAATTACTATAATAAGTACATAGTATGTACATGGGTAACAGGACTGTAAAAGGAAGCGTTACCGAATAGTCTTATAAAACAGTATGATAGTACTTCATGTTTCTAAAAAACATACATTAAAAAGGGACATAATTTAAACATTTAGCATTACATTTTCACTTTAGTTAGGCTACTTGTAGAAAAAAAATTATAATTTAGATTTTCACAACTCTTTTTCGGCCCTCTCTTTGACCCATAGAATTCAACAGGATTTTGTAGCTGTACGTGTGTGTGTGTGTCTGTGTGTGTGTATAACCATCTATACAGTGTGTAAACAGTATGTGCATGATCTTTAAAGTAGGCTGTCTACGTGATATATTGAACTCTCTCCCCCCCCCCAGCCCCCCCCCCCCAAAAAGCAAGGAAATGCTGTTTTCTATTTCAGAGTTCAGACTTTGTTAGAACACATCTGATCCAAAACTTTAGTCTATTAATCGCTTTGTGAGTTTGTGACGGCCAAAAATCCCTGCCATTCGTCAAGGTTGTGTCTGCAAACCCCTGAATGTCTTGTCTATCTTAAGGAGAGGTCATACAGATTTAGCTTATCAGAAAAAAAACTCTGGGAAAAGAACTTCCAGCTGGTCGTTCTATCTCTCTTTATCACTTCCTTACTTCTATAGCCTCTATTCAAGCCCTTCTCCTCAGAGGATTTAAAAGCTCAGACTAAGTTAAAGGGATAGTTCACCCAAAAATGAAAATGCTGTCATCATTTACTCATGGTCTAGTTGTTCCAAATCTGTATAAATTTTAGCTGAACACAAAAGAAGACATTTTGAAGAATGTTGGTAACCAGACAGTTAATGGTAGCCACCGACTTCGATAGTAGTTTTATATTTTTTTATCTGTGGAAGTCAGTGGCTACCATCAACTGTCTGGTTACCAACATTCTTCAAAGTGTCTTCTTTTGTGTTCAGCTAAGATTTTTACAGATTTGGAACTGTATATTTGGACCTGTGCCACCAAAACAAACCTGAATTAAAGGTGTTGTCGTTTTAAATGACGTTGTGTGACCTGTTCCACTGGAAATAGTGGTCTGATCATAATGGGATGTTTGATGTTGAATGAATAGACACTATGTTGAGCAATATTTATCTTATCAAACAAGATTACACAGTGTGGTTTGCGGTAATATATTATCTAGATGGTTTATACACAGAGTAAATAGAAACAAGAAATGTAACGTTACAACAAACTCATAGATTCAAAGAACTTTGAATATTAATACATTAAGGGCATGTCTATCTAGAAAACGTCTTAGCACCATAATCGCGTTCGTGATGCCCAAAATGCTGTCTATGAAGTATGTAGCTAGGCGGCTCACTACTGTAACGTTAGATGTTCAGACACAGCCTCTGTCAGATGCTAAATGCTAGTAGATATTCCCTCCAACGGCTTTTCTATCTGACTATTGCAGTCCAAACGTCTTTAATCTATGACGCGTGTAACTTAAATAAATGTCACGTATATTATCAGTTCAAATATAACATAAAAATGTAGCTTTCATTGCTGTACTCACCACACATGTCTCCGTTTCTGCTGCCAAAAGCTGCTTAGTTCCTCGTTCTGAAAGGCTGTCAGTGAAAACCCGCCCACAACGATTGTTATTGGTTGAGAAAGAAGGCCGCGCCTCGATCTTGGGCCCGGTGATTGGCTGATTCGGCTGTCTGTCTTTCAGTTACCTGCCAACGGAGTGGGTTTAGACGTGGCAGCAGGATGCGAGTCCGCCGTCACCGTGTCGCGGCCATGGTCGCGGCCAGTGATGAAAATGGCATCATCTTTAGTTAAATATTTTCTTATCTGGCAAATATGTTAAAGTTGTGTATTTCAACGGGAAATATATATATATATATATTTCCTTTTCTTTTTTTTTCTTTTTTTTTTGGAGGAACGTTTCGGTCCATCGAAAGCGTGGACAATAGTGAAGTGCAGGACATTTTGGCTGGTCCGCACTTTCTGAAAGTCCTTTAAAGGCCTGTTGTAGGGTTAAGACTTGGTTATAATTAGGTAGGGTAAGGAGCTAGAGATTGTATTGTGTCAATGAATGTCCTCACAAAGATAGATGTACAAGAATCTATTGTGTGTGTGTGTAAATATGTATTTATTTATTTTATTTTTTACTAGAGGAGAATACTTCTAACTAAGACTAGGCTGTTCAATAGTGTATGAACACAGTGCTGTGCAGTAAGGGACAATCCATGGCTGGATGTGAATTACACAATTAACACATATGAAGCACAATCACGTTTAATAGCTATACATTTTTAAGGTCTCTTAATTATCAACATGATCAAAAATGTTTTACACAAACCACTACACTCCTGGGCAATTATTATTATTAAATCTGAGCCATTTTAATTACTGGTCAGGAAATAAGCAATAATTGCACATACTGTAGATAAAATAACTTTGCCCGCAATAGCCTTCCCCAACTTGCAGACAGCTTTTTACAAGAAGAAGAGTCGGTGTTGTTCATCTCAATCTTAATGGCTTCAAACAGTTCATGGGTGGTTGAAAAATGTCTCCCAGTTCATTTGAGTTTAATGCAAGACCAAATATTAACTACAGGGTTCAAATCTATGATCAAGGCCAAAACTTGGTTGTCTTTGCAGTTTTGGCAGGAGCATTGTTTTGTTGAAAATTTTACATCTGATTATTCCTCTTTGATAACAACTTTTCAATTGTGGGAAGCAAGCCATTCTGTAATATTCCTTCAAAGCATTAGATGAGCATTAAAAAAAACCAATAGGCCTACCAGCGGCTTAAAATGTTACCTGAGACTCTTTCTCCATGTTTCAGTTATTATTATATTTCTCAGCATATTTTCGAAGACATCACACTGGAGCATCACCATGCAACTCGTGCTTCATTGTGATTCATCGCGGTCACACACAGGGGTGGCTGTAAAATTCCTGTATGTTGCTAGTTGTATGTAATAGGTTGACTGTTTTTTAGCAATTTTCTTTACATCAAATCAAAATTCTTACAATATTCTATGACCTTATAATCATGGTAATTGTGGACATTGTGATCACCTCAGAAAATCTGTAGCTCTTACAGACCTTAAAACTAGACAAATTATTTAAACTTATGAGACTGTTAAGTGACTTTTGAACAAATTTATTTTTATTCAACTTCACAAGGCTAAAACTGCCCCTAGTTGAAGAAACGCCCGGGTACAACACGCTAAGAGAACCACTGGGTTAAGGAATAGAACAAAATCAACATCAAAGCACAATACACATACCAAGGGCAGAAAGTACACAGAGGTCACTTACAAAGTTAGGTTAAAGATACAAATAAAGAGGGATTCAAACAAACAACATGTAATAAGGTAGAATTTACAGACTGTGAGCTGAAGAGTATATTCAGAGAAAATAAATGGGGGATGCTTGACAGATGTCTTGAGCAACGCTAAAAGACCTGATGGCTTCTATGGTTACTATTGAAACGGACTGTATGGCACAGCCCCACCTAAAATATTTTTCACCAGCCGCCACTGCACAACTTCCCATATTTCCATAACTTCCCATGTACATGCCTTCAGTCGTTTTTTCATACTCAATTCATACTTTTTTAGCATGTAAAAGGCTTACTGTAATTGTAAAAACGTCCCCCTTCAGGTTGTGGCACCCATGTCTTTTTGCTGTGAAAGTCTTCATGATTTTTATTAAGAAAACATAAGAATCACTTTTATTTTGTTAAAAATATTTCAATGTGAGCATACTGGACTTAAGCACTGAAGATACTTCCTCATGCAGACCCTCAAATCTGCTGACTGCAGCCCAGGAAATGGAGGTTGGTTTAAAGCAAGCGGCTATCCATCTTTCGTATACTGTACATTCAAATATCTCATGAAGACAGTACTGTAATTTTGTTCACAGATAGCTTGAGAGTAGACCTCCATCAGCGCCGATGGTTCTTCCTCATCTGCTGAAAGCAGACCCTCGGATCTGGAGACCAGATTGCACCTCTACCAGCACTGTGGGTGTTTCCACTTCCGAAGAGAGTGAGAAGATTGATCTGCTGGCACGTTTTAAAAATTTTGGACCAATTTCTCAATAATAACATTGAAAAAAGATAGATTTTTGTTTGTATATGCTGTCAATTATAGTTGTTAGAAAGAAAATCGGAATCGGCAAAAATCGTTATCGGCAGGTCATTTACAAAAGAATCGGAAATCAGAATCGGCCAAGAAAATGGCAATCGGTGCATCTCTAGCAATAACATGTAGGCATTTTTAAATACAAGACATTCACTCTTGAGTTTGTATTTTTAAATACAAATTTAATTCATTCATTGCTATGAGAGGAAGAATTTTCTAAAATCGTTAAATCATCTAAATCGACAACATGTATGTTAGACCCTATACCGACTAAGCTATTGAAAGAGATGCTTCCAGGTCAAAGATCCTCATCTTAATATCTTCATTTCATAATTGTCATTAGGATACATACCAAAAACTTTTAAGCTGGCTATGATTAAACCACTTGTTAAAAAAACGCAACTTGATCGTACAGAATTAGTCAATTACAGGCCAATCTCAAATCTATCTTTTCTGTCAAAGATACTAGAAAAAAGTAATATCCTCACAACTATGTTCCTTTTTAAAAAGAAATTGTATCTGCGAGGATTTTCAGTCAGGATTTAGTCAGTACCATTATAGTACTGAATCAGCTCTCATCACAGTCACAAATGATTTGCTCTTATCATCCGATCGTGGTTGTATCTCGCTATAGGTGTTACTCGATCTTAGTGCTGCATTTGATACTATTGACCACAACATTCTTTTAAATATACTCTACAAATAGAAATTATGTTGGCATTAGTGGAATTGCATAGCATGGTTTAAATCATACTTATCTGACCGTTATCAGTTTGTAGCAGTAAATGAAGATATGTCTTATCCATCACAAGCTCAGTATGGAGTACCACAAGGCTCAGTACTAGGACCGTTGCTGTTCACTCTGTACATGGCATGCTACCCTTAGGAGAAATCGTTAGAAAGCATGGAATTAGTTTTCACTGTCATGCTGATGATACTCAGCTCTATATCTCTTCACGCCCTGACGAAACTTACCAATTCACAAAATTAACGGAATGCTAGTTGGATGACTAATTTCCTACAAAATAAAAATAAAAATTCTAATTATTAGACAAAAAACTTCCTCACGTAATAACCTAGAATACTGTCTAACACTTGATGGCTGCTTTGTCAAGTCTTCGTCGTCGGTTAGGAACCTGGGTGTGCTCTTTGATACCAATCTTTCATTTGAAAGTCACGTGAATAGTATCTGTAAAACCGCATTTTTGGAACAGGTCTTTGACTCCCTCAGCCGCCACCATGTCACCTGGAACACTGAGAAGTGTATGTTCTCCGCACCGGCCATTGATTTTGTCGGGTTCCGTGTGTCGGCAGATGGTATCTCCCCTCTCCAGTCAAATGTGGCAGCCATCAGCGCAGTCCCCAACCCCACGACAGCCTCACAGCTGGCTTCGTTCTTGGGGATGACAGCCTACTACATGCGTTTCCTGCCACAGTACTCCTCTGTCACGGCCCCGCTGAGGATGCTGCTCAGGCACGTCGTGTGGTGGCCCGCCATGGACCGTGACCTGGAGGGACTTATCCACGCCTGTGCAGCGTGCCTCATCAGTGGGAAGACTGGGCCACCCGCTTCAACTCCACTACAGCCAGTTGAATGGCCGTCTGCACCATGGGACCACGTGCAGCTTGATATCTGTGGTGAGCTGTACAATGTGCCACACCATCAGAGGTTCCTCGTGGTGGTCTACGACCTGCACTCCAAGTGGCCTGAGGTGGCTCCCATGGGTACGGTTACCTCTGCTGCGGTCAACTTTCTCGACCAGCTGTTTTCCCGCTGGGGCTTGCTTCGTGCAATTACCACGGACAATGGTCCTCAGTTCCTGTCCTAGGAGTTCACCACCTTCCTCGCCAACAAGGGTGTTACCCATATCCGAACCTCCGTCTATCACCCCCAAGCCAACGGAGGGGTGGAACGATTCAACCATTCCCTGAAAATGGACTGCGTGCTCACATGTCTGAGGGATACTCCCTGATGGCCGCACTGTCACAGACCTTCCTCCACTACAGAGCAACTGCCCACTCAACAAACAGGGGCCTCAACACAACACCCTCAACACCCTGCCGCACTCATGCTGAAAAGGGAGCTTGTGCTTCCTGTCAAGACTCCATCCACCAATGGCCGCGGGCCCATGGCCATGCCCAGCAGCAGTAAAGGCTCACGTCAAGAGACAACAGAGTTCCATGAAGCGGAGGTTCGATGAGAAGCATAAGGCTAAGTGGCCTGCTATCAGAGTGTCAGACTGGGTCAGAGCCCGCCGGCCCCACAGAGCTAACAAGCTGTCATCATTCTGGTTGGCTCCGTACCAGGTCAGTCGGCAGCTCGGCCCAGCTTCATTTCAGCTGACTGAAGGTTCCCGTTGGCACGCAAGCTGGCTGCGCAGCCTTTCACCACCCTCACCTGGCAGGGGTGGAGCAGAGCAACCCAGCAACTGAGCTGGCCAGGCCGTATCCAGATCTGATGAAGGACCTGCGCCTGGACACGACGACAACGCAGTCCTGAAGTGTCACTAGTCCCTCCCTGTGAAGGCCTCCTTCCCCTTACCTCTGTAGAGATAAACGTTGTCGGGATAATTCTGGTTCACGTGGCTACGCCGAAGCGATACAATTCTGTATTATACATTTTAAGGCCAGACAAGTAGTTTGTTGAGGGTTGTTTTTTTAGGGAAGGATTACATGCCTGCGCACTTACATTCAAATGCGCATACGAACTCTTAATAATACGCATGTGCACGCTATCAGCGTTCGCACAGGTTCACGTTTTTAAAGTTTGCATAGAGAACTTAAGAGTTTTCTGCTAAAACAGTGTCGTGTTAGTGGCCCCTAAGTTAATAACTGATGATCGTTGTGACGGAAGTGAATCAATCAAAACGAACTTTATCAGGAAAATACTTTATTCTAGAGCTGCTGTAAAGCCAAAACAATATCTGTTACTTTAATTTCCTATCATCACTGTAAAGCTGCTTTGGAACAATCTACATTGTTAAAAGCGCTATATAAATGATGACTTGACTCTGCCAGGTTCACTCAGTCGCTGTTCGCAAATTCCTTCCGAAAACAATGTGTGGCACACCTCAGCATTTTCAGCTTTCAGAAGAAAACTATTCTAAATTGCATTTACTTATGAAACTTAGGAAAAATAATGGACAATGTTGCAGTGTGAGCAACAATTGGGAAAAACTAAACAGTGGAAAATTCCTAAAGAACACAAATGTGGAACGCACAAAAGCTTTAATTCTACAGAGTTTGACCATACATTTGTGAAATATTTTTATAAAGATCTGCCATCTCTCACATACATACATTTATTTTTACAGTACAACAAAAACATCAAGTTGAGATACACTCAGAAACCCATGTTTCTTGAAGGATCTAAGGATTCTTAATAGCAACGTGTGTTTAGCTTCAAGACAGCGGTCATACATCAATGTTGGATTTGTGCTGGTTAGATGCAGTCCAGATGAAGTAGGGTTGAAGTCTGAGCTTTGAAATATATGCAACTAAGCTTATTCAATAAACCCTGATCATTTATCATCATCACTTCGTCTCCGGCTTCCTTCTATTTCACAGCCTCCTCTGTAAAACTAGTTTTGGGTACCAGACAAAATACAGGTTTGTTAACTGATTTTGGCTTTCAGATAACATTTTTTGCCAACTGTTTTTGGGCATCCGACAAAACAAATGTCTTCTGATGGGATCTGGTAAAGAGGCTGGATCCAATATTCCTGGCGTGGAGATTTGAGCATTTTTGGACAGCAAGATATAGACAATCTCACACTTTTAATGTTTTGTACTTTGTACACACCTTTTCAAACCTTAACCCGATGAGTGAAGTGAGGGTTAATTCAGAAGCCACTAAACTTTTTTTTCTTCTCAATTTAATACAATATTATCAACCAAACAAAAAAAAACATGATTTGTGAACTGTTCAAACTAAACCACTGTGAGTCCATGTTTATTAACTGTACAATTACAGTTATGAATATTAACTTATTCTGCGACTGTGATGACAGTTCATGTAAACAAGAAGAGTTCCTGGAAACACGGCTGATCTCAAATGATCTTGACTACGGGGAAGTATTTGTGTGCCGAAAAGTCAAATTCAGGAAGGACCTGCAAAGAACAAACACAAGGATGAAATGAATTTCACATTATTACATTTCATCTATATGCGAAATGTGTTTTTGGAAGGAATTCAAGTTTTGCTCTGTGACTGTGAAAGAGCATCTGTGACTTGCTGTCTGTTACCACAAGACATAATTTTTGATGTCAAAAATGTTTAGCACACATTTTAAACTAATTGACTTTCTTTTTAAACTAATTTAAGCATTTACTGCGATTTCACACCTTCCTCGTTTGGAGCGCTTGTTTCAGAACCTGGTGCGTTTTCTCCCTTAGTTTGGTTAGTGTAGTTTTGGTTAGCAATCCGACCCAACGAACTAGGCTTTATCACAGTGTTTGATGGGCAATGACATACGTGGCATTGAAAAACAGCAGGTGTTTGCTATACTAATCTCTTTCAAAATGAATCATGGATTAACCTGGAGCAAAGACTGCAAAGTAGAGGCTGTCGCCTTTAGGTTTTAAAATGCCAACTAACTGCTTTTCTCTGAAATATGTACATGGTAAGAATGTTGTCCCGATGAAGCCTTGATTCCTGCTGTTTTCTATCATCCATCTGCTGTGCATATCCAATGGGAAAATGATAATATTTAGCAAGTGTAAAAAAAAAAAAAAAAAAAAAAATCACATGAAATCCGATTTTTTCCTAATCCGCTCAGCTACTTTCATGTGGTTTGTAGTCGTAAGCGTGTAGACAGTGTGAACGGAGTCTATAAGTGGAATCCCGGAACAGAAACGGATGCACTGACCAGTGAGAGGACAAAATGTAACAAAATTTGACCTGTTTATGTTGCCTTTTGAAACTGAACCGAATCAAGAAGAAACCTGCAAAATTGTAACATGTTGTAATTCCTTTTTTTGTAAAAAAGCAAACGATCTCCAGGTCTGAAAAAAACCCTTAGACTAATTATTCTACTAAAACTAAATTGTAAAATAATAATTGTCTCAATTATCCTTTCAGCAGCGGGACAACAAGGACTTTCGCACTGGATGAACTTTTTCATAGCCTTTTTCAAAAGCTTTTGGAGGAACTACACACTTAACGGGGACACACTTAACGTCTAGCTGAAACATTTTAAGACTGAACTGAACACACTAGAGCTCTAGTTCCTAGAACTATCTGGTGCGAAAGCGCCGAAGCTAGGCCAGGGATGGGCAAACTCGGTCCTGGAGGGCCACTATCCTGCAGAGTTTAGCTCTAACCCTGATCAGACACTCCTGAACCAGCTGATCAATGTCTTCAAGATTGATCAAATGCTACAGGCAGGTGTGTTTGATCAGGGTTGGAGCTAAACTCTCCTCCGGGACCGAGTTTGCCCATCCCTGCTCTAGGCAGATGAACTTCTGATTTTAAGTTACATACATGGTCAAGGCAGGAGTTGAAATATTGGATCTAACTTTCAAATAAATGTTTATTGTAACATTTATTCTGTTGCAGACTCTCTCCCAATAGATATCTCATTAAGTGCAATACTATTTTTACAAACTGAGAGACGAGTTAAAATGTTTCGTCCCTGGTAACAGAGACGGTCCATGGAGCTTAAGTTGTACTGAACCCAGAATATTCATATAAACATGTTGTACCTTAGTTTCCTTCTTGTGTCCTCCAGCCAGCAGTTTCATTACAACAATATTGGGTTTGGCCACTTTAAGGATGCGGTTAACCTACAGCAGAAAGCAACATATCACAATATTACACAATATATAACTGACAATGTAAATATCAATGTAACACTATATGACTTCACATTCTCCATTGTATATAATCATTTTGTTTCCATCCATCAAAAAGAAAATGAGTCATTTTTTAAATTTTAATCTTAATATTATTTTAAAAAGGCAATATGTAGCCAAATATGTATGTAGTAATGAATATCCGCCAAAAATAGCTACACTGTGATATATACACTAACATGGGAGGTCCGTAAGATTTTTTTGAAAGAAAATACAACTTTTATTCAGCAAGGATCTATTAAACTGATCATAAATTACAGTAAAGACTTTGACATTGTTGTGAAAAACTTCTTATAAATGTCATGTAACTTTCTAAAAATTAAAAAAAATACTGAAAAAAAGGATCACGGTTTAGACAAAAAACAGCATAACTGTTTTCAACATTGATAGTAATAAGAAATGTTTCAAATCATCATATTAGAATGATTTCTGAAGGATCATGTGACACTGAAGACTGGAGTAATGATGCTGAAAATTCTGTTTTGCATCACAGAAATAAATTACATTTTAAAATAAAAAACCAAATACCAATTCCTACTATATATTTGTGTTAATAAGACTGGACTGGCTCACATAGCAATAGAAGGACTGTTTGAAATGTACCTCTGCATCAGGGCTGGTGACGTTTTCAAGTATAAGTTTGGCCTGCTGGAAATGTTTACTGGCTGCCATATAGAGATCCGCTGAGCGAGGAGGAGGATTGTACTTCTTCAAATCTGACATTTCCTACATTTACACACACACACAAACACAGTTTACTTTAATCTTTGGACAGGATAGTTGCAGTAAACATGACCCTGAAGTGAGTAAAATCAGAGTTACCTTAAACTGGATGTAGTGCACTGGTGGCGGTGTGACGACACTGTTGAAAGGGGCGAATCGATGCTCGTAGCGAACCTGCTCGCTGTCCAGTTCAAACTGAGGCTTGCGCACCTTTCTGTCCATATCCAACGCTATCATGGTCTGCAGAAATAAAGACTTTTAGTTTATTCAAAATACATTAAAAATACAACTCACACACATAAAATGACTCGAATCCACCCCTTCAATGAAGAGTATGTTTCTAATTTCGACATTAAAATTCATTTTAATTTGGAACGAAGTCAAAACCTGGGGGTACAATGAGTACTCCATTGTGTGTGTGTGTGTGTGTGTATCAGGAAGCATCACCTTGTACATGCCAGCACACATGTTCTGGTAAGCTTGGCTCATGGTGATCTCTTTACTCAGAGGACGAGCTGAGGAGACAATGAAAACACAATAAGCGAGTCAGACCCAAACATCCCCATCCCATAGCACGTGCAACTGTTGAATGAACGTGGGCCTGTGAGAACCTTTCTTCTTCTTCTTGCTCTTTTTGCTGCTTCGTACTTTCAGCTGCTCCTCCAGGATTCTCTCCTCTGCCATCTGAGAGCTGTCCGCTCGACTCAACGTGGACATGAGCCATGCATACAGGAACTCCGACAGGTACCTGAACATACATGGAGAGAAAGATATATCATTACCTTTTTAACATTTATCTGACTCTCAGAATTTACCAGGCTGTTTAGCTACGGTCCCTTTAAGACTATATGCAAATGACCTCTGTTATGATTGGCTAACTTCTTCATGTGTAATACTAAATCCGACATTAACGTGCTAGCACTTTGGACTTCATTTACGGAATCTTTCAGGGATGCATCAATATTAAATCTGTGGCTGATGCCGATAATTCTATTAATATATTAAATATATAATCATAATACTGACATATTATATTCAAAAATATTTTTGTTACATAATATTAAACAATTGTTATTATTTTTACTCATCTGCGATGCCCGGCGGTGGCGCTGGATATCATTTTTAATATTATTAAAAAATATATTTTATTAAGTTATTGTTATGTATTAAGTGCTATTATGCCATTCTAAATGTTCCTAATTTTGTTTTGGATTTCTCCTACAATAGGTGTAAGGCATCCAAGGTCAAAAAACATTAAATTTCTCATAATATACATTGCAGCTTCACTTCTTTTCTCACAGTGTCTGAAATGGTTCAATAAACTATTCAGTCTCTATCAACCCCTCCTTTCCGAAAGCCTACTCTGCTCTGATTGGTCAGATGAGCCAGTTTGTTGTGATTGGTCTAGTGCTTACAGTGCGTGTCAGAAACCAAACACACATTACCATATCTGAATTTCAGCACTGGACACTTCCTTCCTGTTTTGTGTGTGCCTGTGCATTCTGATCTGTCAATAGCATTTAAAGCATGTTTGTTTAGCTGTCGTACCAGTAGATGTAATAATACTCATGCATGCTGTAGAGCTCCAGCTCGAAGCCGCTGAGCAGGTACTGGATCATGATGCGCAGGTTATGATAGAGGATCCAGGTGCCCAGACAGGCTAAATGCTGCCTTTGAGGCTCCAGCTTCATCAGAAGACCGTGAAGAGCAGCGTCCACCTTCTCAGCCTAAACACCAACAAACACACTCAATGATGCTTTACAACCGACAGGATGGCAGCAGACTTTCAGAAGCATGACAATTTTGGTTAAAGGGATAGTTCACTTTGAAATTTATTTTTGGTATGTTTTAGCTTACCTCAAGGGCATCCAAGATGTAGGTGTCTTTGTTTCCGCAGTAGTTTCAATTTTGATATTTTTAGGTCAAACCGTTCTTGTCTGTCAGTCATATAATGCAGGTCTATGGTGACTTCCTCAAAGAGCATGCACAGAGAAGTCCAAATTAAACATGATTTAATGACTCGTAAATGTAAGTACACATTGATGGCCTAAGACACGAAACGAGCGGTTTGTGTGAGAAAACGAACAGTATTTATATCGTTTTTACCTCTTGTAAACATAGCCACGTCCAAGTGATCTGAGGGCGCGGGCGCTTCGGTCTTTTCCGGCAAGCACCGGAAGTGATCTCTCGCGCGTGTACGTCACTCATACAATTTTTTTTTTTTTTTTTACGACGGTTTAAACATCCCTGATAAGTGCAAATTAGTGCCATTTTAATTAGCCGTCTTACCTACAATCTCTGTTCTGTGTAAACAATGAGTGACGTATACGCGCGAGAGATCACTTCCGGCGCTTTCCGGAAAAGACCGAAGCGCCCGCACCCTCAGATCACTTGGACGTGGCTGTGTTTACAAGAGGTAAAAACGATATAAATACTGTTCGTTTTCTCACACAAACCGCTCGTTTCGTGTCTTAGGCCATCAATGTGTACTTACATTTACGAGTCATTAAATCATGTTTAATTTGGACTTCTCTGTGCATGCTCTTTGAGGTGGTGACCATAGACCTGCATTATATGACTGACAGACAAGAACGGTTTGACCTAAAAATATCAAAATTGAAAATACTGCGGAAACAAAGACACCTACATCTTGGATGCCCTTGAGGTAAGCTAAAACATACCAAAAATTAATTTCAAAGTGAACTATCTTTAAGTGGACTTTCAAAGGACGGGCAATAAAGATTTAAAATATATTAATTTGTGGTTTGAAGATGGGTTTGAAATGACATAGTGAGTAAATTATAACCCTTACATTTATGCATTTAGAACTTACAAAAGAGGAACAAAAGCAATAAATCTAATTCATTGAACGCTTTTAGTTCTTTGTAATAAACACCTATGAATCGTGAGGAACAAGACCAGAAACACTTATTAAAAGAATAGTTCACCCAAAAATTAAAATTCATATATCCTTTACTCAAAACCTGTATGAATTTCTTTCTCTGCTGAACTCAAAAGTAGATATTTTGGAGAATATGGAAACCGAACAGTTAATGGGCCCCATTGACTTCATAGTATCTTCAAAATATCTTCTTCAGAAATGCATACAGGTTTGGAGCAACTTGAGGGTGAGTAGATGCTGAGAGAATTTTCATTTTTGGGTGAACTGTACCTTTAAGAAAGTATTAGGTTAAATGTTTTATTCATGTCAACTTTAACCAAACAAAACACATCTACGCACCTCGTCCTGAAGGGTGGCAAACTCCTCCAGTATGTGACCCAGCTTGTCTCTCTGGCGTGCTCTGTTGTGTCCGTGAATCTGGATAAGGCTGCAGAATGGCTGTGACACAAAATAACATCTAATCTTAATTCATCTAATCGAAAACACTATTTCACCTGTTGCAATAACATATCAAACAAAATTAATCACAAACCCGTGTGCAGTGTGTGACAAAGGAGTCAATGTAATCTTTAGCCTGGTGGTTATTGTTCAAACTGCATCTGTGAAAACAGTGAGGGAATATGATGTGAATGTCATCTTAAAAGAGTTATGAAATGTGAATTTTTAGCAAGATAAGGACAGGCAGGAGAAAAACTAAAACAGAATCACGAAACTAAAAATAACATTAGTTCATCTCTGCAGCGTTAATAGTAAAAACGTAGTTTAAATGTTTTCAAAAGAGTTCAACATATAATACTTATAATAAAAATGATGCATTATTACATGCAACTAAACCAAACCAAACCCCAATCCTAACCCTGTAGTGAGTACATTTAATTCATTAATATTACTCAGTACTTAAATGTATACTCAAATTAATTAAAGAGTAAATAATATAGAGTGAAGAAATAATCACTCACTTTGTGGAGAGGACAGGTGGGCTGACAAAATAGCGCAATGCATCTTTAATCATATCCTGCATCAGATGAGTCCCAAACACCTTCTTATTGTCAATCAGAAATGTGGTCTGCGTCACACACACACACACACACACACACACACACACAGATGTATTATCAGACTATCTACATGTCAGTCTAACCAGTAACCATCCTATTATTCTGTCACTATATGTAACAATTTATCCGAGACCAGTTTTATATGTGATATAGTTATGTGTTAAATGTGTTATTCGTTGATAATTAAGCATTAAAAAATGCATTTCTTGACCAGAGAAGTTTATTTATTATTTTTTAAAGCCACGGCAGCAGCAAGGCGATGTTCATGTTGAGAAAAAGAGCGAATAAGTCATACAATTAAAAAAATTTAAAGTCACCATGAAATCAAATGGACAATTCCTGTTTTTTTTTTTTATGTAATACTGCAGTGTTTTCTTTTATAAATGATAAATAATTGATGTGCCCTCATAATCTTTCATTAAAATAATTTCCCCTCCCTCTTGCAGTTGGGCAACCTGTCACTAACATGAGATCACAGCAATAGCAAACCACAACCATCCAATCAATTCCCCAAAGACAAAATTGAGTCCCGCCCTACAATTTTTCCTCATTCAAGAAGCCGTTTCACTCGGATATACGTCAGAATAGGACAGAAAGAACGATCTGAACTTCCATTTTAAGCTGAATTTAAGATTAATGCAAAACAAATTCAGACGATACTTCAATTACATCAGTTGAACATATGTCTGAATAAAAACCTTGTCTCTTTAGATTTAAAACAGTCCAGTAACATATCTTTAACAGTCATTAAAGGGATAGTTCACTTTGAAATTAATTTTTGGTATGTTTTAGCTTACCTCAAGGGCATCCAAGATATAGGTGTCTTTGTTTCCGCAGTATTTTCAATTTTGATATTTTTAGGTCAAACCGTTCTTGTCTGTCAGTCATATAATGCAGGTCTATGGTCACCACCTCAAAGAGCATGCACAGAGAAGTCCAAATTAAACATGATTTAATGACTCGTAAATGAAAGTAGACATTGACGGCCTTTCGGTCTTTTCCGGAAAGCGCCGGAAGTGATCTCTCGCGCGTATACATCACTCATTGTTTACACAGAACAGAGATTGTAGGTAAGACGGCTAATTAAAATGGTACTAATTTGCGCTTATCCGGGATGTTTAAACCGTCGTAAAAGAAAACAATTAAAAAAAATTAAAAATAAAACAATTGTATGAGTGACGTACACGCGCAAGAGATCACTTCTGGCGCTTTCTGGCGCTTGCCGGAAAAGACCGAAGCGCCGGCGCCCTCAGATCACTTGGACGTGGCTGTGTTTACAAGAGGTAAAAACGATATAAATACTGTTCGTTTTCTCACACAAACCGCTCGTTTCGTGTCTTAGGCCATCAATGTGTACTTACATTTACGAGTCAATAAATCATGTTTAATTTGGACTTCTCTGTGCATGCTCTTTGAGGTGGTGACCATAGACCTGCATTATATGACTGACAGACAAGAACGGTTTGACCTAAAAATATCAAAATCGAAAATACTGCGGAAACAAAGACACCTACATCTTGGATGCCCTTGAGGTAAGCTAAAACATACCAAAAATTAATTTCAAAGTGAACTATCCCTTTAAAGATTAAGAAATTTAGTTTTTTGTCCATTTTCTATATATTCCAGATCTCTGAGTAAAGCACAAGCTTCAGATGTAAAGATATTTATGTCAGATGAAGTTGGTCTTACCTGTAGCAGAGATCTAGACATCACACACGGAGACTGCTCACTGAACTCACAGAAGAAATCCTGAAACCACAAACACTCAGCAGGATTAGTTACAGTTCTCTCGAATACTACCACAGAATGCATGTGTTAATACGCAGCTATTTTACCAAGATGCTGTGCAGGTTGGTTATGTTGATGACCTCACAGACATTTTTAATGCGCTCAATGAGTTTGCTGAAGTAGTTGACCATCTCTTCTCTCTTAATGATCTTGGCGTAGCGTGGGAAAGTGGGCGGGAGCAGGCGCTGGTTAACCAGCGGCTCAAAACCCATCATGATTGGGTGATCTGGAAAAAGCATGGTGTGTACATTTGGGGAATTAGAAAATTAATTCAACATTACATTTTTAATTGTTTTGAGACTGTTACCTCCTTTGGTTGTGTCATTCTGTGACTGGATTCCATACTGTATAGAGGAGTGTATCGCGGGCAGTAAGTCAGCAGCCTGAGTCATCAGCTTCTGTGCTTCGCTGACAGCACTCGTCTTAAATGCCGAATCACCCAATAAAAGATTAGATATTTGTGAAGCAATATGCTTGAGTGAATTTAATAGTGTCATACCTCTTTTTTAGTGAAGGAGATGAGCGCGCTAAGCAGCAGGCGAGTGAATTTAACACGGCTGAAGAGAGCCAAGCATTGCTGATGCTGAAGGCAGAAGAGAAGGATGATGATCAAAACTCTCAGGATTTCTGTACAGTGCTGTCGTCTGGCTGATAATACACGCCAATAACACCCAAAGCATCCACACATCTCTTTATCTTCAGTTTAGCCTTCGGGGAAATGATTATGTACTTACATCCAGTTCCACCTCAGGATCTCTTTGTTCACCCTGTCGACTGCGTGTAGCTACTCTGTAAAAAAAAAAAAAAAAGGAAGAAACAAATATTTAACAAGTCAAGAAAAAAGAAGGAAAAGCTACAAGGTATCGTGCAAAGTCTTGAGATGGAGTCACCATACCTTCACTTTCCTCTGAAGTTCATCCTCAACATCTTTCAGCATTATAGAAATTTTAAATGGCGAAATGAAAAGACTGAACAACAAAATCCTACAAAAACATGTAGTTAATTTACATTTTGCATAAGGAAGACGAAGCCTAATATTTTGCAACGCTGCATTATTTTAATGATAATTAAGAAAATTTAGCCTTAAAGGTGGGGTATGTGATTCTCTTTTTTGTAATTTTTTTTAAAATAACTTGAAATCCTATTCCTAACCCACTTACAGCCACTGAGTTAGAAGCACTGAAATGAAAATTAAGCAATTTAATCATCTGTGGAACGGGCAGGACTCGAAAAACTCCAGCCAATCATTTCCAAGACCACCAGAATCATTGGACAGTAAGTCCGTCAATCAAACGGTTGTACCACACCCCCCTCCCCCCAGCGCGCGTGACCCCCGTCGTGCGCATATTCAAAGTTTGTGACGCATGCGCATCTCGTCAGTAAAGCCGGTTCCATGATTAGTAGTAAATCGTCATTACAATCACTCGCGCATCTGAGTTTTCACTCGTGCATGATTGCGCGCCCATGTTCTTCGATTGGGTGGAGTCAGAGCCGGCGTTGGAGGAAAGAAGGTAGGACCATTTGAATTGTATATTTTCAAAATCTGCCGGTCGTTTTCCAAATCACATACCCCACCTTTAAATTCTTTTAAAGCGGTCATATAATGGTACATGCACTTTTACAAGTTGATTGTACTAAAATGTGTGTTGGCAGTGCCTGTACACAACCATCATATAATGATAAAAATCCATCCAGTGTTTTTGTTTTAATCTCCTTATATGTTTTCCCCTGCCTCAAATCAAGCCGTTCGACCTTGTGACGTCACACGCTCGGAAGCCCCTCCCACGATTGTTGATTCACAACATCGTTTCAACACAGACCCGCCCTCGCTCGTGAGCGAGCTGTCAATCATAGTCTGCGCGGACCGGGGCGGTCATTGTTGATATGCTGGAGCACTGTCTATGAGCAGAATGGCGTCTAAGCGATTGTGGTGTTCTGTTCGTGGGTGTAATAACGAACACAGTAATTTTAATGTTCCTAAATCCAAACCGCTGAAGACGCAGTGGCCGAGTTTGTTTTCGAAGGGAATATTCCCCACGAGCAACGTCAATGCTTTCATGTTTGCGCGAATCATTTCTCACCAGACTGCTTTATAAACGAGGGTCAGTATGAGCTGGTTTTGCTAAGAAGCTGCTCCTGAATAAAGGATCGGTACCAGCTATTCGTGTTCCTGCTGAACCTCTAGAACATAGGTTCTCAAAGTGCGGCCCGCGGGCCAATGGCGGCCCGCCCAAACATTTCTGGCGGCCCGCGATAACATCTGTAAAACTGTTAAAACTATTGCTTTGAAAAAATGAATATCTCCGTTTAGTGGTGTTTAGCGGCATCCATAGGCATAAGCGGTAATTACATGGTCCGACCGACCGATCGCACTTGACCTCACTCCCAAGGCCACCAGGAACAGTGGTTGTCTACACAGGAATAGGAATCGTGGCCAACCGAAACCAGCACCACAAATCCCATTGCAATTTAAAAGGGTATGTTGACCAAGTAATCAATATTCAATGTGACTTAATAATAATCTTAACAATGTCAAGCTTATTAATAGCCGCGTTTCCATTACCTTTCAAAATGTTCGCGGGCGCGAACGCTTGCATTTTCCTATCAACAGTGGAAACAACTTAAACTAGTCTATCATTTCTGGTCATACAAAAAAAGAATAATGCATTATTCGCAACTACTTTTATTTGTGTAAACTCATAACAAGAAAACGTGCTTTTGTAAAATAAAATAAAACAATCAGTAGCCTAGGCTACTACGCGCTTTCATGATCTCCGTGAACTGGAGCGCGAGAACTGAAACAAAATATAGCCTATGTAGGCTAAAGCTTAAAATGTGCACTTTTAAACAAACAAACTCGAATCGAAAGCAAATACCTGATTATGTAATCCGTATGAAAGGTGGATTTCTCTCTAAAAGCGCATCTGCTTAACAGCAGAGATGGAGATATGTTTTTAGCCGACACTTAGAAAACAATAGTTTATTAATAAACAATTAAAATGCCTCGCTGTTTTTTCAGACGCATTTATTATCATTAGCCTATAACTCACCTATAAATCAGGCTAGATCAGACACGTACAGGCTATATGGCTCTTCTCATTCATCACTGCGGGAAAAATATAAATTCCTGGTTCTAATTTGGCCTTAGAAAACCAGTAAAATCGACATGTTTTCCATATTAATTTGTGAATATTTAAAATGTTTAATAAAGGGGCAAAAAGTCATTTAAACAAAAATCTGAAAAAGTCTGTCGATATTTACTTTTTTTGCGCAGCAGTTGGTGAAGCCAGTTCAAATTAAAATTTTGTTCAACTTTGCGTTTTAAAAAGACAACAACCGTTCATTTTTCGTTTTTCAGTTACGGGTTAAAAAAGATAGATAATAATATGCAAATCTGCAATAATGGAAACGCGACTGACAAGCAATGATAGAAATGAATGATGATGATGACTTGTTTGGTAAGCTTCTATTTTAAAAGTTTCTTTCTCTCCCCCCCAAAATTTTCACAAGTTTTGCCAGGTTTAGCCTCAGTTATGAATTAAAATGTGTTTATTGCAACTAATGTAAACTGTAGAGATGCAACCTGGTCATTAAAATAATTTCAAATGGGATTTTCTTTTCAGTTTTTTTTTTCTTCGTTTTCTCCCCGCCACTTTGGCGGCCCTCAGTTCAATGTTGGGTTCCTAAATTGGCCCTCACCTATCAAAACTTTGAGAACCCCTGCTCTATACCAATCACAAGAAACCGCATTCATTGTATGGCTTGTTTTTCATTGTCTGCAAATATGCCAGGGGAAAACACCCTGATGGAGATTATAGATAAAGGGCTAACAGAAATGGGCTTTCAAGGGCCAGCTGAGACCATGAAGTGATTCCCATTAGTTGTTGTGGAGACAGTAGCAAAACTTTTTATGTACTGGTTGCCTTATGGGCGAGGAAAATCATAGTGTTGATTTTGAACTAATATGTCTATAACATAGTTTTAACTCTTGAAGGTCGTTAGACATGGTGGTGGCTAAAGATGAAGACAGCTTTTGATTTAAGGAAAGTCTGGATGACAAAGGTGAATGGTCAAAGGTTATTGTAATGAACACAAATTTTGTCTAAGTTACAGCCTTAGGAGGCTGATGGAAAAATTATTTGTTTATAGTGAGAGAGACTGCCTGAGTTGGAGGAAGGGATGGTAACTGTGTCTGTCTTTCTGTTATTGGCCTGCTAGAGCAAGCTGAAGCAAAATAATGATAATGAAACAAAACAACCCAGCTGACCTTGTTAAATTCAAATGAATAATGAACAGACGTGCTTTGAAAGTGGTTAAGATACCATGTAAAATTAGGTAGAAGCTACAGGAAAATGGAAACGTTAAAATCTTATTTAAAATTTAAATCTTTAAGCAATAATATAAAGAAAAGTGAATATTGAGAATGAGCAGTTAACATATGTGTGTCTAGTATGAGTGTGTGTGATGGTGACAGCACTTTATGTCTTGTATGTATTAGTTTGGGGCACTAATATTCCGCCTGAATGGTGTGTATATTGCGTCATTAACCTCTGGAATGAGTTTATCATTACAGATGGGTTAAGGCAAATGACAAATTTTAAAGAAGCTGATAATTCTGATGAAAAGACAATACAGAACATGGGACAAGCTTTAAGTTGATTGGCCATCAAGCTCTGTCTGGTAGTAATACTTTTGTCATACATAATAACGCGACTGGCCCTGGCACGCACTAGCACGGCCCGGCCCTGGCCCGTCAGTGGAAACGCGGCTATTGTGAACAAAGGGGGAGAAATGATTGACTGACATTGACCAAGTCTGTACAGCACGACTTGACCTGATAGGGAAAATTGATGACTTTGGAAATGTTTGTAGATGACTGACTTGAGAGACCGAACAACAGGCCTGAAAAGCAGAATACGCTGTGAGACTGAGGGCCGTTGCCTTTCAAATACTTCGATAAGAAGATGAGATTGTGGCTTTAAGTGAAGAATGTAATATTTTTGTTTCAGAGGCAGAGAAAGATGTCTGGAGGAAATTTGTCTGAAGGACAACGTTTGGGTTAGTGTTGATGGCAAACTTTATAAAAAACACTATGTTAAATGTTATGTTAAATTGATGCTCGAGTTGTGTCGTGCATCAAGAGGGAGATGGTATAACAATTGCCAAATATGGTTTATTAAGGGGTTCACATTTGCTGAATAGATGTTGGGAGAACACTAGGGGTAATTGGATAAAAGCCCTGAAAGAAGCCATTTTTTCTGCCTAACAAAATTGATGTCTGTGGGTGTGCCGCACACACCAATAACAAAGATTGTTTCAACAGGAAACACCAGGGCAGATGCAGCAGCGAAGGCCGCGGCAGCACAGCAGACAAAAGAAACTACGTACTTTACTATCTGACAATAACCTCGAAATCTGTTTCTCTTTACAGAGAGCATGCAGGATTGGGAGACAGGGCAAAATGTGCCCAATAAAATGATGGCTATGGATGAATTTGGCTAACTATCCTGGCCTGGGTTATTATTGTGGCAGAAAGGTGCTACACCTGCGCAGCGCATAACTTAAATTTTTCTTTTACAGAATGTCAGGATGGATTGGATCAAACAGAACTAATTCTGTTCCAAATGTATAAATATTGTGTGGACATGAGCAAAGTGGGTTGAGTGTTTTTCAGGGTAAAAGGACCACGAGTGCTATTAAGTGAGCAAGAAATTATCCGGAGATAATGTTTCAGATTGTTGATTCCACAGGTCACACCAAAGGGGACGAGCGGCTAGACAAGCGGTCACTAACAAAATACTTAAGGTCTCCATTCACAGGTGAAAGCAGGCAAGAAATGGTTCACTCCAGTGGGGGTGCGGTCGTGATTTAAGGGAAAACCTTATAAGGATCAGAAAATGGTTGGAGAGTGTGACACCTGGGTCCAAGCCTCTCACCTTAGACAACACCAACAGGCCTCAACCATCCAATAGAGAACAAAGTGAGGGATTTCAAGGACGTGCTAGTCCATGGGGCGAACGAGATGATCAACACACCTGGAGGAACCAACTGCCAACTGATGGTTTAAGTTTAACAGAAGAATCTGTTTTTGTGATGATTTTGTTTGATTGGATCAAACTAGGTTGATTTGATTGTAAATGTAGAAAATCTATTGATTGATGTGTGTATTAGAGATATTAGAGTTAATTTTGAAAAAACTAATTTGGTTAGAGGAATGGATAAAATTATAAGACTTCTCTGGTTAGATTTGTAAATAAAATATGGAGATGGGCGTGGATTAATAGAAAAGGCTTAATGATAGGAGTTAGGATTGTGTGTGTTATTCTGATAATTTGGTTATTCATGGGTGAATATGATTACAGAGACAGGTGAGAACCTGCTGTCTGTTCAATTGGTAAAAAATGGTAATGTAAAAATAACCTATTTTCTTTCTTTTTAATATTATTTCCTTAATTGTTTCAACTTAATGTTATTGAATTGCATAATATGTAATTATATATATATATTTATATTTATTACATGGCTTGGTTGAATTCCAATGTAGAATGCGGTCTGTTGTTTCTTGAAAACAGACCGCTGCTAAGTATAACACACCGTTGCCATGAAAAACTGAGCGTTGCAATGGATTCTAACCGTAGAGACGTAGCACTAAACGCTATTTTCTTTAGCGGAAGCAATACAATCATTTTTAAATCAAGAAACTCCTTTTTAAATCAATATTTTGAGTCAAATTATTGATTTATTTGGTAGGTAGCCATGTAATTAGCGGGATAATGTCCCTTACACATTATCCCTTACATATATCATTCCAGTTCAGTTTTCTCCATCCATCTGTTGCAAGTGCAATACAATTACATGTTGTATACTATTCATTGTTGTTTTAAAGGGGTTTCGGTTACATATCAGTTACTTTATCAATCAGTGTTTTTTTAAGAGTTTTCTATTTTTCACTATAATTGATTACCTCAATGCAGATATTTTTTTATATAACCAACCTATTTTTTTTTGTTTTCTTTTCTACATAGTGGCGCAAACTGGAGAAGTACCTGTGTGACAGAGGATGCTGTGCTGGGCGCTTATCTTTGTATTTAAACAGTTTGACATATAAATAAACATTGGGAAATTACTACAAAATTTGTCCATTCATTATGCTTTTTTTGAGTTTTTTTTTTTTATTCCTATATTTATACTAGCTAATAATGGTAATGGGGTCCATTTCCTGGAAATACAGAAGTGATTAAATATATACCTTTAATACATTGTAAATGTTATAGAAGCACTTCATTTGAATAGTAGCTGAACTTATCTTTGTTTAAGAAATACTGAATGCTTGAATAATTATCAGTGGATTAGTTTTTTGTAAGCAAATGAAACTTTTTGAATTATTTTTATACTTATTTGTCATACAGTATCCAACTGCAACATTTTTCTATTGTGTGTAATCTATTGTTGCATCGGGTTATGCAATGCAATCTGTCATTTTAGTTTTATATTTAATGGGGACAAATAAATGTTTAATTTGTCCATTCACCACAAGAACCTGGAAGATCCTGCCATAAATGACCATATATGGACAAGTAAGTGTGACGCATCTGCTCAACTGGGTTGTCATTGGCTTTGACATTTCCTTGGCACCTACAGGACTGGCTGTGGTTGGACTATCTTTAAACCCATATTACTAAACGTTTAATGTTGCAAAGTACGTTTTGCTGTTATAATTACGTCAGTAATACATAAAGTTAACAATGTGGTGTTGAGTTGTTGTGAGAAATTACCCCTTTACCGAGATCCTAACCCTAACCCTAAGTATAGGTTAACTGAACTACAAACAAAGACTATTGCCAAATAGCTGATAATGATAGAGGCTCATGGGTAATGTAGTTTAAAAAGTTTAATAAAGAATTTTTTTTTTAAATACTATCTTTACTGAACATAGGGAAATCTAATCATGGTCACTGTGCAAACCTCTAAGACATATTTGAGAGGCAGGCTAAAATTTGGTATTTTACTATAAGCACTTTTTAAAATGCCTTTATACCACCTTTTCATATATATATATATATATATATGATTTTTTAAAAAGTGAAGTCAACATCATTATGTAAACATAGCATAAGAATAGTGTTGACAACAAACAAAGACATCAATTTAAACAACCAATACACTTGTGACACTTCATTGTACAACATTGTTTTACTGAATGGCATACTGTCCAAGTACACACAGTGTGTAACTTATGGCTCAAAAGTCTTAACAAAAAAATGAATGCACTGCAAAGCATCATAATGTAAAAGTTCTGGACATCAGAAATTTGAATGCTCATCCTGCTTATAGTACAGGATCCATGTTGATCTTTCCCTGGTACATCATCCTCAGTGTGCCTGAAGTGCCCATTACAATATAGCCCATGCAGTGCACTTCATGTAACTGAAATTTGGCATATTTACTGTATTTGACACAGCATCTAAGTCCTAAAACATATACAATGGTAACATTCTAGCAAATGATTGTCCCAAATGTCTCAATTAAAACAATCATGGTTATTATGTCTTATTACAAAATCTAATTATGTATTTACCAAACACAATCCTTAATAAATAATATTCACCATATGTTGTTATCCAACACCATGTACAAAACTTTACTGGATAATACAGCATAAATACAGCTAAAGTAGCATATAAAGACTTATGATATTTGAGAGAAATAAAAAAGGGTTGTTGTTATAATCATGATATTTATCTCCCTATCAAAATCTTTTTCCATGTATATAAGCAATTTGCAATTGTTATCGAGCACAGCACAGTACAGTACAAATGATGGACAAAAGATGTGATCAAATCAAATAATTTTTTTGTCACAAAACCATGAACCCAAGTGTGTACAGGTGATGAAATTCTTTTTTGCAAACTCTGCAGAATGACAGTATGGATGACAAGTATAGAATATTTACACAACACATACAGTATTAATATGCACAGTGTTAGGGACTCAATACAAGTAGAGAACAATATATGGTACAATATTATACTATACACAGATTGAAAAATGAAAAAAATAACAAACAAAATAATCACAGTATACAGTGCAGTACGGTATGAATGAGTGAAAATAGAATGTCAGGGTCCAGAATAATACTGAGTAAGAGTCCAGTCAGTGTAATTGAAAAAATGTAGAGCATATGAGGTTGGGGGGTGGGGGTTGCTGTGTGTTTTACTGGTATGAGTCCAGTCTGCTGGTGCGGGTTCTACGATAACCTCTGCCTGATGGTAACGGTGTGAGCAGTCCATGGCTCGGGTGTCTGGATTCTCCGTGCTTTCCTCACACACACCTGTAGGAAGGGAAGTTTCCTCACACACTCCCTTGTCCTGGAGGGAGGGAAGCTCACCTTCAACAGTGTTCTGTGCAGTTCGTAGAGCTTTGCAGTGATGCAGCCAGTCAGGATCCTCTCCACAGTGTAAAATTGAGGGTTGATTTGAGGGTTTTGGTGCTCACAGTGAACTTCCTCAGCTGTCTGAGGAAGAAAAGACACTGATGAGCCTTCTTCAGCACAGCATCAGGGTGGATGGGTGAAGTTCTAACCAAAGAAAAAATGTATTTAGGAGGTGGTAAATCAGCAAACCATATATAATAGTATTATTTAAAATTGTTGCACTAGACCAGGGGTAGGCAAGTTCGGTCCTAGAGAGCCACTGTCCTGCAGAATTTAGTTCCAACCCTAATCAAACACACCTGAACAAGCTAATCAATGTCTTCAGGATTACTAAGGCTATAGGCAGGTGAGGTTTTTCTCAGTGTTGGAGCCAAACTCTGCAGGACAGCGGCTCTCTAGGACCGAACTTGCCTACCCCTGCCCTAGACTTACCATTGATTCCATGGGCCATAACTCCGACCTGTCAATGTAGAGCTGGAATGTATTCTTCACAGTGGATAACTGATGCAGTGCTGCACTTGGTGGCCACAGAATCGTCTCCTGTCAACAACAACTCCATCTCGGGCCTCAGACCTGTTAAGTTTAAGACATTAAAAAATTGTGTTCATATATGCACATTATACCTCTGTGCTGAATATTGTTTAATATTTCACATGACGCTTTACCGGGAATAAAAATGGGACTCATATTATGAAGTTCCCGGAAGTGCGGTTGTTGTTGTTCGAGCACGAACGAGGTGGTGTAACGTTTTGGTGTTGACGAATAAACGGATGATCGATTCTGAAGTGTATCTTTTTGAATAACAGACCCATTTCTCCTTAGTCTGGACCATGTGAACTGACCAACTGCGTGAAGACGGACCTGAGCATTGAGTGTGTTCAGTGCCAGCTATCGGCTCCTCTACCTCTTGATGTAGTCTTTCTGTACAAGTAGAAAATGAGAACATAATACAAGCAGTCATAACAAATTAATAATGTATTTAAAACTAGTGCAACATGCCTATTTCTTCATCAACTGGCTTCATCCTCCTTCAAACAATCAGACAAAACAACAATTTAATAATAACTCCAGAAAAACTGTCAGTACTCACCATATAAAGTAATTTCCAGCTATAAACATGTATGTATGAGTATCTATGAATACATGAGAAGGCCATGTTCATTTCTCATCCCCAACAGGACTGGTTGTCCTGGTGAATACTGGTTTGCCTGGCTTGCTCTTTTTCAACTGTAAAACAAGAAATGTCTATTGAACCCATGTTTAAATACTATTGTTGTTTAAACATATACATTAAGACATGAACTGAGACGGGCAGAATTTTGGGTGTAAGTTTTAATAATGAGAGAAAGGTGGTACTAGAAAAAGCTGTATCTTCAATAGCAAGCTATATTAATAAATGAATAATTTTAAACATGATTACTTGCTGCCAGTATTGTTGTAAGCAGTTTAAAGGCCTCTTCACACAAAGGATGAGCCCACACTGCAGCTATTTAACATATAACGACACAGAGGAACAATTTCGTTGGAATCACTTTCAGAAATTTTGTTTTTTTTTCCAGCTGATGAACTATAAAATCTTTGACAGCCAATCAGAATCTACTCGACTTTAAAAAGCTTAAGCACTTAAAATGGCAGACAACATTACAACAGCACGCACTTTTGATAATAAACAGAACTTTATTGTCCGTTTGTTGTGGATGTTAGAATATTTATCATTATAGTTATTGTTCTTGGTGTGATGAACGAACTTAAAGGGTTAATTCACCCAAAAATGACAATTCTGTCAGTAATTACTCACCCTCATGTTGTTCCAAGTTCCAACCCCGTAAGACTTTCGTCAATCAACCATAAGTTTATCAAGCCACGAGAATACTTTTTGTGCGCAAAAACAAGCAAAAATAATGACTTTATTCAACTCTTCATTTTCTTCTGTGTGGGCCTCTGAGTGAGCCACATAGTGTAACAGCGCAGCGCTTCTGTGTTGTACGTCACACGCATCACACACATGACCTGCGTCGGCCAATAGCGAGCCTACGTTCTGACGTACAACACAGAAGCGCTGCGCTGTTACACTACGTAAACTCACTCAGAGGCCCACAGAGAAGAAAATGAAGAGTTAAATAAGTCGTTATTTTTGCGCACAAAAAGTATTCTCGTCGCTGGATAAACTCAAGGTTGAGCCACTGTAGTCACTTGGACTATTTTAAACATTGTCTTTTCTAACTTTCTAGGCCGGCAAGTTTCGATCCCTTAGCTTCTATGGAGGAGTGAGACAGCTCTCAGATTTAATCAAAAATATCTTAATTTGTGTTCTGAAGATGAACGAAAGTCTTACGGGGTTGGAACAACATGAGGGTGAGGGTGAGCAATTACTGACAGAATTTTCATTTTTGGGTGAACTAATTGTTTAAGTGATCTGATTAGGACAAGTTATTTGAAGATCTGATTTGGCACGTAACTTGTTAAACTAGCATTTCCAGACTCTTGCTTCTTAAACAGATGTGGTCAATAAAAATCAACATGTGGAAAGATATCATGTACTGTTGGTACGAGAAGAGACGGCGCCAATATGTAAAGGTTAATAAAGAATACAATGGATTTGATATGAACTTTCTGATATAAACGGTCCAACTACTTACAATCTGCAAGAGAGTTGAGGCAATGGCCAATGACAGCAGCTGGAGTAAAAGTCATAGAATTTTGTACGAGTGCACTTGCACAATATCATATGAATTTGCTGACTTGGCCAATTGTATGAACTATTACTACTTCGACATGACGCTTTATTGTGGGTTCTTACTGATGGGGCCGTGTGGTATGTAAAACAAAGTTTAAGAAACATCAAATGCTGTGCAAAATGTAACTGCAGTAATGTTCAATCAAGGGTTAAGACCAACACAGACATACCATTGGAAACATTTGCCTTTGCAGATTTTTTACTTCTCCATAAACGCACAAGATGGCCGAATTCATCCCTCTCCACGAAGACAGGTTTAACAAGCCCTTGACAGCACTTCCTTTTCAGCTGAAACAAAGAGAAATATATACATGTTGAGACAGTGTGTTAAAAATGATCCGTGACCAAATTATTTGAGAGGAAGGACTTTAAGGAAAGTTAATAAAACATAAAATAAGGATACATTCATTAAAGCAAATCAGTTATAACTAAATGTGTTCAACATTACCTAATTTGAAGGACCTGTTCAGCCTCCCTGGCAGCTTCTTCAAGATCAGCACTGGGAGCTTTGAGTTCAAGTTCCCTGTTAATAGCAGCTTTCTGACAGAATTGATTCAATTTCGATTTTTAAAAAATATTCCATGATGAAGAAGAGAAAGAAAGAGAGCAAAAAGAATGTGTAAATTAATTACAGTTAAAAAAACAGAGAGAGAGAGAGAGACAGAGACAGACAGAAAGTGAGTTTTTGCGAGAGATGGCCTCTTAAAAGAGCTGTTGGATTAAAGGTTGTTGTGGGAGATGGAGATGGAGGAGTATGTGATCTGAAGTAACTGCAAGACAGAAAAAGAATATTGAATTGCAATTACATTACAAAAAGGTATTAAAGGCATGGCCAGTGTTGTGATTATTGTGGTAAAAGCATGGCAAGTGTTGTGTTACTGTTTCAACTATAAACACCACAGTAAAACTATGGTTACTGTGGAAACCATGGTAAGTGTTGTGTTACTGTTTCAACTACAAATACCACAGTAAAACTGTGGTTACTGTGGTAAAACCATGGCAAGTGCTGTGGTTACTGTGCTTTACCTACAAATAGTAGACAGTAAAAACACAGACTGTGGTAAAATCATGGTAAATTACTGTGTTTTAATTACAAATACCACATTACAACTACAGTGACTGGTAAAAAAAAAAAACATGTTAAGTCTTGTGTTACTGTGCTTAAACTACAAAAGTACACAATACAAACACAGTTACTGTGGTAAAAGCATTGTAAGTGTTGTGGTTACCGTGGTTACAGTTACGGTGGAAGAAGCATATGGTATAACGTTAGCTACTGTGCTTTTACTACACATGACATAGGATCGACAGTTACTGGTAAAACATAGTAAATGTGTGGACTTTTTGCATGATACCTTTCCCAACACAGGCAAATTTCAATGTTTGAATGTCACAATGAAAACTAAAACTTATAATGCTGGCGTCCGTTTGAATGAACGTCACACAGCTTGAAATATAAATACTGATTTGAAACACGACATCATTTAATTCATAAACACGGGACTATATACGGATGGAAACCCTACCTGTACGCGTGATGAAGTCATCAAAAAGATATATTTTTATAGCAATAAACTACTTTGAATAGCTGGAAGAGTTTGACGTAAACTGGTAACGTTAGCAGGTAGATAAAAAAAAACCCATAATTCATTGAGGCGTAAGTCAAAGTTTATAATGCATTTCTCCATATCTCCAGCTGCCGGTAGGGGCGCAAATTTAGGAAATGCTCTTATGTGTCGTATTTGAAGGTAGTCACAAACGACCTAAATGGTCGTATGGGTTGGAGGACTTGTTGGTAATATTCCTCAAAAATGAACAACAACGCTGCTTCAGAAAAAAACTTTCTGCTTACCGCACTTTTTCTTCAGCTTGTCTTTTATCCTTGTAACGTAGACTCACTGTATTCCGGACACTTTGCACAGTAAAACGTCCCGTAAGATATCAATCCGCAGAAGGATAAACCTGATTGGCTCGTCTGTCTCTGGGGACATGCCTTCCACATGTTCCAAAGTTTGATTGACACATTTTGGACTAATCATTTTGGAGAAATCTTGAAAAAACTGCCGGGAGACGCAGTGTCCGGATTACCGTGAGAACGTACTCGGTTACTAACGTAACCTCGGTTCTCTCTAGAGAGGGAACGAGTACTGCGTAATAGCTTACGCTAGGGGAAAAACTCTTTTCCACGAGATATTGAAGCCAAAAATTATCCTTAATTTTTTATTAATGTAAAACGCTTTGCAGCAGCAAGCAGACATAGGCGAAACAGCTCGCGCGCCTATTGGTTGCTCTGCAGCAAATGCAGCAGCCTATCGAGAGAGACTCTGCGTGACGTAATGACCAA